AGCGAATACATAATTAGCAAAAAAAAGTTGAAATAAAGTGATTAAACAAAAATTATTACAAATATCGTAAATAACAAATGCATATATAGAGATATTTTTTGGAGGGGGGAAATGGTCTTCACAATTTGAAATCGATCAAACACACTGTGAAATGATCGTATACATGCACGCCATCTATCATAGGATAAATGTACTATGCCAGAAACCTTCGCGGGAATGTATTAAACAACTTCCCAAAGCTTCATGGCAATCGTACTATGCCAGAAACCTTTGCGGGAGTATATTAAACAACTTCCCAAAGTTTCATGGCAATCGGGTAAACGGTGTGGTAATGCATGAAGGACAGACACACAGACATACATTCATTTTTATATATATAGATTTGTATTTGTAAGATCTAAATCATGTTTTTTTTTATTTTTAACCTGAAGAGGGTTGAATTAATGTATGAGAAAACATTACATTCACTCCCCAAAATGCACTGCTTGATAAAAATTAATTTTATTCTGAGTTTTTCCTTGGAATAAATTCTTTCTCTCTGATTCAAGCAGATAAAGAGGTAAAAATGAAATGAATAATTTTAAGATTGGTTTTAAGCTTTAGCAGTAGAAAATGTTTCCCTTCAACATCCAGATATTTTTTGTAGACAAAGTAAAAATTATTGTTAACTATCAACAAGCTTGACAGTTAACAATAATTTACTGTTGCAGATGCTTTAAATTTTAAATTTTATCAGAATAAACTATTTACTTGAGCTAGCTTCAGAGTCAAGAAGATTCAGGTCAGATCTTGGAGCCCATTCTAGAAATAAACATATCTAGGTTTTCCCTAAGATTCCACACTTTTTGGACATTTTGTATTTCACTTAAACATAAGAAATATATCTAAAATTTTGGTCAGAGTAATAAAATGCATTTTATTCTATTTAGTTTTTATAAATTAAAATAAAATACACCTTTATTTCAACCAATACAAATTAACTAATTTCACATAATTTGTCAAACAAATTTTCTTTCAATTAGGGAGGATTTTTCATTCATTTAAAAAAAATGAAGCCAATTATATATTTCTAAATATGGCATTAATAAAATTTATATTTACTTGTATTTAGAGATTCATATTTAATTTACAGTAAAATTTATTTTTTGGAAAAATATAAATTTGGAATTTTTAAAAATAGATTTTGAGATCAGTCCAAAAACATATTTCTAAAAATTTGATTTAATATAACTTTGCATATAAATATAAAAGTGCAAAAAAGTGCATCATTTGCATTCATTGAAATTGTGGTGTATGTCTGACTTTTTCTTTTTACTCAAAAATTTTTCAATAAATTCACATTACCTATTTATGCAAAAGTTAGTTTTCATAGAAATAATCCAGAGTGTCATTATGAACCAATGCAATATACAAACAACAGGCAGATATTCTGGTAATTGTGAAGCAAAAAGTCCGAGTGCAAATATCCTCGCAGAAATAACGAAAAAATGCCAAGATGCATGGAAAATCGTCGCAATCCAGCCCATGTTTTTCTTCTTAGGCAGTGAAAATCTAAGAGCTCGAAAATAAGCAGATATTGCCCAGGATATTGATACAAGTGATATCAGAACTGATACTATTTGAACGATCACTATAATAAAAAATGTATATACTGTTACTTTTTAGAAAATTTTATTATAAATTAATCTTATTTATAAATACAAAATATGATAAAAAAAATCAAAAACTGAAAGCATATACTTATGAAACTTATAACATTAACTTTATAAATTTTAAAGAAATATCAAATTGATGTAAAAAACAAATGACAAGCTATTACCTTTAAATATAAGAATCCTAACAGTTTGAATACAGATTAGGTTCTTGTCAGATGCTAAAGCCTAATGTTGGATTGATTGTGTCGAGACTATCAAACTATTTACATATTTTTTAATATGTATTGATGTGCAAAGGATTGTGGTATTTTATTAAAATTCTTTATATCGAATATTTTAAGAAAAATTTGTTTTCTTAAAATATTATAAGTGCATTAAGTGCTTTTCAGTTTGACGATTACTATTTTTAGTACAAATAATGCAATTTGTTATAAAATGTTTACTATTGCAATTAAAAATTATGGACAAAACTTTATGCAAATTTAGTTATTTTATTTTTTTTTTAAATAGATGATGCATCATGCTATAATCTTTATTTAATTTTGTTTTGAAATTAATGCAGACGAATGGAGAAATGAGATAAGACATTGGCATGGGAAATCTGCCAAGGAAATGTGCCTCGTGGAAGAACTTTTACTGGAAAACTTGCCCCTATTTAGACACATGAAGAAAACCTGGAAAAATTCACTTGGCCAGAATATTGGCAAGATATAAATCCACAACCAACCAATCACCCAGTTTTTAGCAATTTTAACAACTTGACCACTAGTGGGCATTGAAATTAATCCATTTTTATCATTATTTTTGTATATTTTATGATCAAGTTTCAATGAATAGCATTCATTGTTTTTATTAACAAAACATTCTTCAAAGGGCCAGTACTACTAAAAATAGCAAGCATAAAAAATTCTCATTTGCACTGATAAAAAAGTCAATAAAATTATTATTAAATTTTAAATTTAATTATAGTAATCAATTTGTTCACAATACAAATGAACAAACAAATTATCTGCAAACAATATTTAATTACACAGCAGTTATTTTAATTTGATAAGGTAAGCACATAATATAGCATACTACCATTAATTAACAATTTCCTCAATATTATTCAAAAAAATTAAGTGATATCCAATTTATTCTAAAGAAGAGCCAATTTTTGGGACAAGACTATGTCTCAGAGATTCAGGGTTCGACGCAATCATTCAAACTTTGCCAGTCTCAGCCATGGCCACGACCACGAGGTCATCCACAAGGCATTTTCAGTGAAATTAGCCTATCCAATGTCAAAATTTCTCTCTGTTGCATGTCTGTCACCCTGAGTTGAATTTTTGTCGATGCCTAATGAAAATTTCCGTTTTTTAAAAAATAATCATGGCTATTGTATCATCTGAAATTATATTTTTATTTTGTTTGTGAAAAATAAATATATTAATAAATGTAAAAACAAAAATAAATATAATTATATTTTGGAAGTAACTTTTAATATAAAATTATAATGACTAGCACCATCTAGTTTCAAAAACGTTCCAATGCTGAAATAAGATATCTTGGGTCAACCAGTCAAGTCAGCAGGTCACGACCAGAAAGGTAAATGGATTTTTTCAAAGATTCATTTGTCAAAATTCAATTTTGCAATGTTCACATTTCCAACTTCCCAATGATATACACATGTGCAAATCTTGCACTCTTGCCTGTTTGTAGAAAGATTTTGCCATTTTGTATTTTATTTTGACTCAGTTCTTGGTCCTGAGTACCTTCATGTCCGATTTTTTTTTTATGCATGCATGATTTGGGTACCTAATACCCTGTGCAAATTGCAACTCCTGACATGTTCCCCTTACACTTCTAAGGTATGCACCCATAACACCACCACAATTTTATAAACAAGGAATATTTTCTTTTTTTTTTTTTATTTGTGATCGACCAAAAGATTTTTTTGGAAATGACTGTCTTTTTATTAAAAAAATATTTATCATCCTGCGAAATTTTAAAATTAAAAGGCATATTCTTGTCAAAAAGTCAGTAATTCAATTCTAATTACAAAGTTTTATGATATAGAGTAGAGTCTCTATAGTCTATAGTCACATTCAGTAATCCAACACTCCACTGCAGGATAGCGCACACTAAATTTTCATGTTATCACTTGACATACGAAACACAGAAAGACTGATATACATGTATATTATCAGTCACTAGTTGTTTGTTGCTTGTGCACTTGGCAAAACAGTCGCAATTATAATTAATATGATAAACTAATTGGTGAACCAAGTGTGTTTTTTACTGTACAATACATGTACACATACAAAATTCAGTAATTTGACAATCTGCTGTAAACCACTACCCACAGGTCCAATATACATCAGATTATAGAGACTCTACTGTATTTGTGATATTATTTACACTAATTAGCTACAGCCAAATCCCAGTATACAAATTCACACTACAATAAACTATGTTCTTTAGTACTCGTCACAATATTCATAATTTAATAATCTATAAAATACCTTTCCAAGAAATAGGTTCATCCATAGAGAATTCAATTTTCAATAAAATATAAATCTGCAGCAATAATTGAGGAGCAGCTTCCATGAAAGATTCAAAAAGTCTTAACAATGTGGCATCAACATCTTCATATAACATTTCCTGGAAATATTCTTTCTGTTTCAATTTACTTTTATCTTTTTGACTTTTTAAGCCAAATAAAATGCAATCAATGTATCTGAAAAAAATTTTTAAAAAAATAAATAAATAAAACAAAATCTATTTATATTATGTTATATGCATTTTTATTAAGGATAAGTAAAGTCTATAAGAATTGTGTATATACAGTAATATATAATTGTGGTGGCCAAACTGCAGCTTGCAAACCACAAATGGCTCTTCTAGATCCTTATTGCCTACTTACACAATTTCTTGTTATAAACTTAAACTTTACATACATATAATATTATTCTGATAAGAAACGCAGTCTCACGTATTTCTGATAAGTGATGTATGGCTCTTATCTTGACAAGGTTTGGCCACTGCTGATATTCAACAGAAAGAACATCTAATATTTTCAGAGTTTAACTATAAGACCTATGTGTATAATTTTAACATTTTGATACACTATGTACAGTACATTTATGCTATGAGCAACTAACGGTCATAACGAATATTAAAATATTAACACACAAAAAAATTGTTTATACCAAGCCTTTCTTAACTCTTTCCTTCCTGTGGACATATCTTTTATCATATTTAATAACATAGGTTTGTTTAAGACTATAATTTAACTTTTGATAAAAATGCCAGACAGTAAAAGATTAACCTAGATACTTTGAGCTTTACCTCTACAAGTTTGAGGATTCAGTTTGAACTTAAACAGCAAGCTGATAACTTCACAGTCTTGGCAATCTGACTGCGAGTGAAATGGGAATTAATTGGTGGAGAAATTTCACAAACAAAAAAATTGCAATATATCAAGGATTCCGTAGAAAAATATTAATTTCCTTGAAAATATATTTTGTTTTTTAAATATTAATTGTTTTTAAACACGAACATTTGGAATGAGTCAAATATTTTACTTTGAAAACTGGAAATAGTTAAAACTTTTTAAAATTTGAAAAATTTATGTAAGGATATGTTAATTAATTGTTTTAAATAATATTTTTCTTGTATTTGCATCATGCTGGTTGTTGTTTCATAGTTTCATTAATGGCCATTATCATCCACATTAATACCAGACTTATTATACTGGGATAGGAATTATCACTTGATTAGGAAATAAACATTTATTGATTATTTTATACAGGGAATGCATTTTGCATATCCAGATAAGGTAGTCATCGTCAAAAAGTGGGCTGATGAGAGAAAAGATGGTGTGAAATGCATTCCACGCATAAAACAAATCACTATATGATGATTTCCTAATCAAGCAATAATTCCTATCCTGATATAATAAGTTAGATGATGATGGCTGTTAAAGAAACTGAAACAATATTTTTATTAGTATCAATTGCACCATGCCAATCTGCCACTCTGGAGACCCAAGTTTGAGTCTTGGTCATCTCAGGAATTACCTTAACTCATATGGGCAGTTTGTTCTGCATATGCCTAGTCCTTTCCCTCCCACTGTGAACCTAATAGAATCTATTAGGCATATGATTAAAAAGTTCTTCTAATACCCTGAAGGTGAAAATTATTATTAAACACTTTTTTTATTATAAACATTTTATTTTTATTATAAAGGTCAATTAAAAATCAAATAAAAGCATTTTAAAATATACAATCCTAAACATCTTAGTAATTTAAAATAAATTATTGGATCTTAAGGATTATTTCTTTAAATTTTTTCTGGTATCAAAAATATATAATAATCACATTATAAATATAATTGTTCTGGATCCCAAGTATAGAGAAAATATTCAATAACTTGATTTTGTTAATCTAGTGGATGCAGTCAAGTAGCAATATACTTTTTATGGAAACATTCAAAGAGCAAAATCCTCTTATTGCAATCACTTTGAAACTTGCCTATACAGGTATACCTCGCCTTACGTTGGTAATTGGTTCCAGGAAAACGACTTAAGTCGAATTTACTTGTCTCCGAATCTACTTGTCACTAGGCTAAACCATAAATTACTATTCCCAGTTCTGTATTTTATTTATTGATGCATTTTTAATAATATATGGTTAATAAGAATCTATTTTAAGCTTACAAACAAATAAATTTTAGTTTTTAATAGAGTACAGAAAAAAGTAATCTAAATTTACGAATGCATGTACTGTACTGTAAATACAGTACATACTTATAAATGTATATATTTTAATATGATTTTATGTGCTTTAAATACTTTTCTAGTGATATTACGACTTCAATATTTGTGGCGGACGGACATAAAGTCGAATAAAATGACTTAAACTTGATTTTTATTTTTCCGTATACTTTTTTACAAACGACGTATAATCGGGAACGACGTAACTCGAAACGACGTAAGTCGAGGTATACCTGTACTAATGATATCCTGCTTAATGTTAATGGTCTGTTAAGTAAATAAGACTATAGTAATGAAAATTCTGACATTGACATCGACTGCATGTTAAACAACTAAAAAAAATGTTTAATTTGGAGATTTATTATTTATTGTTAATTAACTGTAATTAAGCCAACATTATTTGTATTCCAAAAAAAAAAGGACAACCTTTAACTATTAACTGTACTGTATGTTCAAAGTAACATATTCCAGCAGTTTAAATTAATGTAACATGAGCAAATAATAGTTAAAAAAACAATGTTTAAAACATTGGTTAAATGACTGAATATCTGTGATTACAATAAATGAACTCTATTCTATTACATACATATAATGTTTTCCTTATGAGGGAAGGAGAGGAGTCAAAACTGTAAGCAATACATTGATTTCTCCCTGTAAATTCTGTAAGATTTTGTTCATCCATCCCCTTTCGTTCTCTTCCTACACTTGCTACAGTAAGAGAATAAAACAGATCCAATTTTTTTAAGACTATTGTACGTTAAAAATACTACTATACACAAAATGAATTCAATTACTGTATACCCAAGTATTTAAAAAAACGACAGAAGGAAACTAAAGTAACTGGAAAACTATTTTTTCTCCACTGCTTATTTTATATTAATTATTAAGGAATGTTTGCTTGAAAAAATTTATAAAAGAAGTACTTATATACAGTAGAATCCATTTTATTTTGTTCAATTTTTAACATTGATTTTACCATATTATATCAATAGGATAATCTATGTAATGAAATTTATATTATATTATCCTGATTAAAAAGAACTAAACCAGCATATTTATTTTAAAAATTAGTGTTTGATTATTTTAAACAAATATCTTCATGTTTGGAAACAAAATTCTGACTATTAAAGACAATTGAAATGCTGGTTCTTTTTTTATTAAATAAATCTATCAGTTTAAAGATGTCTTAATTTTAATTGTGATTTAACCAGTTTTTACATTCAAGTTTATATCAACAATAAGTATAGGATCTATTTTGTCTGTGGGACTTTGCTTATATAAAAATAAATAAAATGAATTTTGTAATAACATAATGGTAAAAGGGCATCAATATTAACAATTCTGATAAAGTAAATGTGAAGTCTCATCTTACATTTGGTGGGCAAACTTGTATTTAATAAACATGGACCCACAATATAGGTTTCCACTATGATAATTTGGATAAAACAACAGGAAAACTTTGATAATTTTTCCTGTTGTTACATTAGAAAGCTGGTAATTATACCCTTGAAAAAATATAGCAAATAAGATTAAATAATGAATTCTAACAGGAGAAAGAGATATTAAAAACACAATGAACAAACTGGATAAAGCCCAATATTTTTATGAAAAACTATCATTAATAGGCTTAGTGACCAAGGCCTCTAAGCAAGTTCTAGCTATGGCAGACACAATCATACATTAATTAATGTGGTCCTGACAATAGAGATGGAGGATGAAAAAAAATGTATCCAAGAAAATTATCAATGGTTGTATCAATTAGTGGAAATAATTATTATGAACTGTTTCTGTAAATAATAGGTCTAATATTTATTTGCATACTTCAATATTGTAGATCTAATGCATTAAAAACAAGATTAATAAGAGGAACATATAAAAAATATATTTAAATTCAACATCTTTAGATTAGCAAAGTTTTCAGAATCTTATATTAAAAAAGTTTGTCTTCCTGATTTATTATCCTTCAATTCTGAAAATACTAGTTAATTTTGGATCATCACTCAAGATAAGTTAAGATAATTCATCTATTATTATTAGTGTAGTATATTTGAATGTGATTTATTAATTACATTAAATACAAACTAACAATTGAAAATACCAATAATCTTTTGTTATCGTACAATATATTGATATAATGAATAGTGATCAGTTCATCACATATCAACTATAATTCTGATGTACCAAGTGATACAGGCCTATCAGATATAGATTTTTAAAGCATGAGTGAAAATTCTAATCATCTGAGTTAAACTGTTAACTTATCACAAATACACTATTGTGTGATATCAACAGCTAGTTTTTTAATATACATTAATTTTTTAATCTTCTGAAACCGTGTTTTCTTAATTTCTTTGATTCACTAACACAAGGTGTGTTACCATTCAACTAAATAAAGATGGAATACCGCCAAGCGTTGAAATGGTAACACACCTTGTGTTAGTGAATTAAAAAATATATAATTTACGAGGTTTTTACAAGTTAAAACTGTCAAATAAAAATTATTTTGCAAGGAAAAGTTTTCCAAATTAAATTTGATCTTCAATGATTGTCTTTCAAGCATCTTGAAAACACATAACAGCACTTAAATTTAGATATCTTTTATTATAAATTAAGCCATTTCATTAAAAAAATAAATTCACTTATATCTAGAGAATGGATAAAAGAGCAAGCATTATCATGTTCTGAAATATTTCATTTCAGAACATGATAATGCTGTTAAATTTATAAAATTCATTTAAAAAAAAGCAAGACAAAGTATTTTATCTATATCAATTCCATATATTTAAATTGTAAGCATGAAATAGAATTATGTTCAATTATAAAAGTTAATGCATGGATTCTCTCACAAGATGGCATGTATTGCCAAAAAATAATTCAAGCCCACTACTCATTACATTTTCATTTTTCAGTTAAATTATTTTATTATATCTACAAAATACTCTATGAAAATTTCATCATTTTTTGTATCTGAAGTACTGTACATAAAAAACTTAAAACTTAATAAATTTAATTCAGAAATTTTTATTGAAGTAGACAAATTATTAGACTCAATTATTACTGAAACTCATTTATTTTAACAATTATTAATATTTTAAAATAGTAAATTCAATTATTATGTATGTAAAATATTAAAAAATATTTTGGAAAATATTCAATTAAACTTTTAAATGTATTTGTTTTGGTTATTACAGAAAACATGTAACAACTTTTAATTAATGGTACTTTTTGTGATAATTACTTTTTGCATTATTCTGAAATTTTCCTTAGAACACAAATGCTCTTTTGCATTTATAATTGAATTATTCCTTGAATAAAGAAATGTTTTTATCCTTTTTCCAACAAGAATTCAACTTTACGATAATGGAAATTTATGCTGCATATAAAAACAATCTTTATCCGGCTATAATGATTATTTTGAGGAAATAATGTTGCTTCAATATCTTTGAATTGACATCATACTTAGAGGTTATATTATGATTAATGTAGATATTAAACCACCCATTGAATATATTCTGGTACTTTCAAGTGCATGTTATCTACTTTCTTCTATGACAACAAAAAACAATTTCTCACTAATCCAAACAAAAACAAATGAAAAATTAGCTGATATTAGAAATTTCTAATATTTTGATGTGTATTTATTAGAAAAGTCATTGTTACATATTAGTACTCAATTGATAAGAATATAATGTTGTGTTCATATTTACTTCATTCCTGCCTTAGCTGACATAGCATTATATTCTTACAATTAATGCAAATCATTTTTACGATATAGTATAGATTACTTTAACCAGGTTTTTAATCCAAATGCTAAAAGTCATCTTTTAAATAATGCCTAAGGTTAAGATGTTATTTTATTCTTCAATTCTGTGGATAATTTCTTTAGATTTGGTCAAATTAAATTTATAATTTTTCTTTGTAATCTTTGTATTATTTCTATAACATTCATAAACTAATTTCATGACGATTATAGTCTATTTTTACTTTCATAGATTTTTTAAATATTCAACAGATTTTTAATGTTCATTTTGGTCTGTTTTTATTATACATACATTTGTTATGTTTTCATTAAACATGTTTGCTCAACAGTAATTTTTCACAGAATAAATGTTATTTTCCTTTGTAAATAGTTTAATGCAAAATTAAATGAATAAAATACTTTTTAATGATGCTTTTTAATTAACAACAAGTATTTAATAGTAAACAAATTAATAGCTTAATAGCATTAACACATTAAAACTGAAATATAAACAAAATCTTAACTAGCTTAACTATTTTGCAAATTACCTCAAGAAAACATTTATCAAAGTGATTCTAAATGCCTTTTTGCTAACACGGGTGCCAACTCTAAGAAGCCAGAACCCATCCGGTTCCCAATCACGGGCACAGATTCACACGGGACGGAGGAGACTCGGCCCGAATACTTTTCTACAGGCAAATCGTCCTTCTCCAAACGATTTTTTTCCCGATCACATCACGGCATCTCGTACGCTCATCGGGTTTTAAACCCAACAAAATTTCTACCACACAATTGCATAAATTCTAGGTTGCATAAATGGACCAATACAAATATAAAAAAATCAGTAATATATTTGTTTTGGTGCCTAATGTTTTCACATCATACTGATTCGAGTTCGTCGTGCAAGAAAAAACATTTGAAAAAAACATATATATTGCACATGGAAAAAATTAAATTTCTATCAGCATTCTATCAAAAAAAAAAAAAAAATTTACTGGGCCAAGTGCAATTTCCAGCTATCTAAATTATGTTCTATAAACAATGTAATCTATATATATATAAAAATGGACATGTATGTCCCTATATTTCACTTTTTCGCCAAAACTACACATCGCACGTGAATGGTGTTTGTATGTAGTGGTAGCCCCAAGTCTCCATTCGTGCATAGGGGTGGTTGCGTCTCGATAGCTATAAGGGTGCGGGAGATATGAGGCTGAAAGTGGTTGAAAGTGGCTTTCTATTTCGAATGTTTTGTTCGAATTTGTTCGAATTAAATTCGAACATAAAATTCGAATATTGGTTCAATTATAGAACGATTGTAAACGTTCCAGAAACGTTGAAAATAGTTTGTTTGACTAAACGTAAAAATTCTCTAATTAGTCTGGAAACGGGGGACCTAATTCTTGCATTCTGCGAAAACAGGTAAGATTAGCTATAATGTAATTTACTCTTCACTATTGTTACTTTTTGCCCAGCGAAGCAGGTCCTTGCAGCTAGATTCTAGATTACTTAGAAAAATAGTCTTTTATATATATATAAAAAACTATATTACATACAAATAAAAACCCAGCGAAGCGGGTCCTTGCAGCTAGTATGTAAATAAAACTATAAAGTTAATTATAATTAATTTCACCAAGTTCTCGAGCCTGATAATTACACACACAAAAGTTTACTGGAAAGAACTTATCACATTAATTTAAGATTTCTTAAATAAAGTGACACCTTTTGAAAACTCACCTAAGCACCGGTCCCAATTGAAAAAACAAGAGAACAGTTCTTAATATCCACCGACACAGGGGAACTTTCCTTTTTGCATATTTGTGATCGATGACGTACCATCTTAGACTGAAAGCCGTCATGGTTACTGTCGGGACCAACACAAACACAAGGGTAAGAACGAAGTAGACTAAACTCGCCCTTTCTCCATTCGAGTAGTTCTTGTAATGGATGTAAGCGAGAAATGAGTCGGAACCCGTATCCAATACGAAAGTTCCAATCGAAAACAAAATAACCGAAACGTCGATCCAAGTGAATTCCAATTTTTTGGGAAGAGCATCGGCGGTATCGTGATCGACGATGTCCGTCCGACCTAGCTCTATAGGAACTTGTTTTTCTTTGTATCTGTAAGGAAAATCGCTCCAACAAACCATTTTAATCTAAATGCATTGCTTATCATCATTTTATCCGTCCGTAGTAATCGTTTACGTTGGCGATGGACGGGTTTATCACGTGTTCCGTCTCTCCCCGCATATTCTCCCCCTACAATGTACAGTACTGTACGTTACTAATTATTTTCTAGCTTTTTTTTTAAAAAAGTTTAACTTGCATTTCGTAATTAAATTTTACCGAATTAATTCACTTATAAAAAAGTTTTGACGCCGAGTATTTATTCTTTAATATTTAAATTTAAAACAAAAATTATTCCAATCTACATTATAAACATATTTTATTTAAACTAACGCAAATCAATAGTGAGATTATATAATATTTATTTAAAAAATAAAATTTAAAATTATATAAAAACGAAAATTTGATTCGTCGTTAAAATCGTAGATCAAATACGATCGTTGCCTGTAAAGTTGCTTTCGCGCAGATAAGCCAGCCGATGTCATTGGTTCACTTAACTAGTTGTGTTAAATCCCCATTACGGGGTGACGCGCCCGTTGTGTACTATATAATCGATTGATATTGCTATGGTAACGGTAAAAAAGTGTCAGTTACTATAGCAACTTCATTATCACGTGCTTAACCTCTCATTAATAATGTCGTGTAAAATGCATTACAATTTAAATTTGTTTCTAAGTTGTAGATGATCACATTTTCACTTATACAGTATTGTGTTAAAACTTCGGACGAGGGCAAACATTACAATGAAAGCTATTTTAAGTTTGATATTTTGGCCAACCATTTCGTTTAATCACAAAGTGTCCAGGAAGTGAAAATCGTGGGTGTGGGTTTTTTAGGGCCTAGATTGGTTCCTATTCCTATAAATTAATGTTACTTTCACTGGAAAAAAAAACAATTTCTAAAACTTTTTTATTAATAAAGAAACATTCTAAGTATTTAATTTNTTTTGCAAAGAATTATAACAAACTTCCACTATAAAGCAGAAGAAAACAATGATTATTACTTTATAATTTTCAGCATGTTGGTTACAAAGACACTAAAATATTTTAATGAATCTCAAAGTGACGAGATTAATTTTTTAATGTTTGCAATAATTACGCAGTAAAAATAGCATTAATTATAAGAATAGAAACCATTTCAGGAGCAGGAACCCCAAGTTTTCTCTGAATCTGGGGAAGTCTCTAGGCCCCTGTTGATAGCCCTGATTACAAATTTTTTAAAATTGTCCAAATTTAAATTTTTTTTAATTTTAAAAAAAAACCGAATGACAAAAGGAGCTCACTAAAGGCAAAATGGCCCACTCTACCTCTGGGCTCATAAAAGTCCCAGTTGTAACTACAGGCCCTAATGATAGCCTATATATATTATTGGGTCCTAGAGAGTAACAAGTTGATTTAAAAATAGGTTTATAAGAGGCATTCTATTATATATAATGGTATATTGCATATTTGTATCATGTATTAAAGAACTTTTTTTTTAATAAAAATTTATGTTATATAATTTATGTACATAAATATTTTATACTGAAAGCATCATCATTACCAGCTATAGCTGAAAAATCACCAAGTTTCTCGCTTATTACCGGTAGACGATATATATATATATATAGTGACTACACGACCCGCACGAGTGAGATTGTGTCCTCTATTTATTATTAGTTATCACATATAATGGACACCGGTGAAAGTATGGTGGGGCTCCTCAAAGTTCAAATTTAGTATATGATAAATCACTCTGCAAAAGAAAATCAACTTTGTCTTAAACAGGTGGATTTAAAACAATTATAAGGAACTCTTTTAATAATCTTCTGTGTTGTCTGTAGGAACAAGGAGAAAATTAAAATTAATGCAGAGAATGGAGGAAGAAAGGAGAGATTAAAATTTTGCACCATTAGAAATGATTTCTGTAATTGAACATTTCCAGAAACTATTTACTCCTAACAATTTAACTGTTTGAAGAACTCAAAAAAAATTTAGGTATTTTAAATAGTAGTTTAATATACATTAATTATAAAATTATATGTACGTATAAAAAACAATTTGTATGTATAACATTTTATAATGTAATGACATTTTGTATTTATTTAAAAATTTATTTAAATATTTTGTATTGTGTAAACAGTTACATGTATAAAAATATGTATAAAATGTAAAATTAAATGTATAAAAAACTTAATACTGTATATAAAAAATAATTTTAAAATGTAAATATATGTTCAATGAGGATATCAAGGAAAAATGTGTGTAAAAGACAATTTCATACAAATGGTTAGTCTGCTTTATGGCAGTTTGATCAGGTCGAGAAAATGAATGAAAAGGAGTTACCGAAGAAACTATACTTGGAAAGAATTGAATTGGGAGTACACAGGTGAGCATTTGAAAGAGTGAAAAATTACGAGCACTACGGATGTGAAAAGGTGGAGACGAAGGTGACGGAAGCAGAAGAGGCAGGTAGACGCAGAAGTGTCTGGAGGAATTTGATATATGGACGAGAGGACGTGCAAGACCCCACTTACCTGCCACGTATTTGCTCCAGAAAATGGGTACGACAATGTGTTTATACATATGTTAAAGAAAGAGTACTATTATTTAATTTCCCAGAAAGCACAAAGATATTTATGATTCTGTTAGATGTATTTTATTGTGTTTGTGCACAAAATAGTAATACTAGCACAAAGCTCATTTTAAGTAGATTGCAAAGGATTTTGTGAGAGACCACAATTTATAATCAACTATTTAATTGGAAACAATCAATTGTGAATTCAAATCATTCCTGCCAAATTGTTGGTTTTTATTATATAAAATTACAATGCTTAATGTAAAAGAAAGTTATTTGTTTTTGTAATATTTATAGATTTATTTCTAGTAACAAAAGTTTAATCTTTGTATCATTCAGTTTGTATAGTTTTTCTATTTTGCTAAACAGAAGGATAGTCATTCTCAATTTGTTTTCCATTCATATGTGAATGAATCATTGTTTTATTGTGTTAAAATATTATTTTTGTTTTTGCAAAGAATTATAACAAACTTCCACTATAAAGCAGAAGAAAACAATGATTATTACTTTATAATTTTCAGCATGTTGGTTACAAAGACACTAAAATATTTTAATGAATCTCAAAGTGACGAGATTAATTTTTTAATGTTTGCAATAATTACGCAGTAAAAATAGCATTAATTATAAGAATAGAAACCATTTCAGGAGCAGGAACCCCAAGTTTTCTCTGAATCTGGGGAAGTCTCTAGGCCCCTGTTGATAGCCCTGATTACAAATTTTTTAAAATTTTCAATATTAAGCCTAGTATAACATTTGAAACTTTTAATTTAAAAATTATTTTTTTATTTACTGTTAATTAGAAGAGTATGTAGTACTCAAGCCTTCTCCACTCCTCTCTTTCCATGTCTCTGTGGAGAGAAACACTGTCAGAAAAAATAAATCAGTAATTTATCTATAAATATTTAATATCCAGATTCTATTTATGAAACAAATTTCCAAAAACATTTGTAAAATAAAATAAAAAACTATCGGGTTGAATATTGACCGATCGTTAAACTGTAATAGTATGCAATTCAAAAAGTACTTTATCCTGTTATTAATTCATAGCCATAAAACTATATATTTTAATTAAATTACTTAAATTGTAAATGTATGTAATTTTTCCTATTAACTTTAGTTAAAATAATTTAATTTAAATAGTGTAAAAGAGAGTTTTAGAAGTTAGACAAAATGGTTGTGATGGGAAATAATTCCAATATTATGAAAATTTTCTTGCCAAATCTGAAGTTTTCCTTTTTAAAATATTTTTTGGTGTTCATTACTTCAAGTTTGTACTTTAACTGAAATTTATCAGCCATATAAAAATTCATTCTGAAGTCATTATCATAAATTAATTTTGAATTTTTGAATGTCAAAAGCCCATTAATTATTGCCTGTACTAAAAATAAAAATAATCATTCATGGCATCGACTTCAATTTTATTTCTATTAGTCAATACAGTAGAACCTCGAAAACTCGGCTCTCGATAACCCGGCACTCCGGATAACTCGGCCACACCCTGGCAGGGCAAAAAAATCCTTAGTTAATTAATTTTCATTATAGACAGCTTTATAAAAGTATAAAAGCTCTCATAAAGTATTTTTCTGAGGTCTGTCTTATCAGGTAAATTACTGTACACAGTGTATTCATTAATTTTCATTTTCATGTAGTAAAGGCTCTATGCCTTCATAAAGGACGTACTTTTCCTTTGTTTAAGGGTATTTGGGCAGTTTATTCTCTGTTATATTCTCAAGTAAACAATACATACAAGTACAGTACAGTATTTTCTGAGGAAACACTCGTACTTATTTTTTTTAACCCCATTCCCGATAACCCGGCATTTTTACAAACTCGGCCACCCTTCGGTCCATATTAGGCCGAGTTTTCGAGGTTCTACTGTATACTACATCAAGTTTATAACTGTATATTAGCATATGCAATTATAAACTTGATGTAGTATGTTGATATTGACACATGCTTAAATTAAAGCATTCTTTTAATCTAAAACATTTTTGTTAACTTATCAGTTTAGTGTCGCATGGCAAATTGTATGGTAGGCTTATTTAATTATTTGTATAATTTGTTAATTTACATATTACAGTAGAACCCCTCTAATCCGTCACCTTTGGGACTGGGGGTATGGTCGGAACGCAAAAAAGGTCGGATTATCAGAAAAAAGTAAAATAAACAATCTTCCCCTTTGTCCAGTCTTTGTAGCACTGCTAATTTTTCATTTAATAAAAGAGTAACGTGTTTACGTTTCACTCCTTACATGTTGAAAACACACACAAAACTGTACATGTATACACAATGTAAAACATATACTGTAACGAACACAGAAAAATGCCACGGATGGTGAGTCACCGACAAGTCAGGACAAGTTTCTCGACTCCGACCATGGTCGGATTAACCGGAGTGACGGACTAGCTGAGGGCGGACTAGAGGGGTTCTACTGTATTATTTTATTTTGTGTACAATAATTTTTGAGAGAATTTTGTGTATGTTCGGGATAAATGGTCCTGAAAATATTCTGCATCACTTCTCGTAAGTTGCATTGTATCACATTACTTTTTGCAGACAGCTACACTTGGTCAGCCATATTGTCAGTAAACAAAATCAACAAGGCAGCCAAGGAGATAAATTACCTGACATTTTGACAATTTTTGAAAAATTTCCTGACTTTTTATGACTCTCCAAACACTAATGAAAATTCTTGACTTTACCTGATTTTCTCTGCCTTTTCAGCTGGGTAGAACTATACAATATACAGGTTATATATAAAATACTATTTCAATATAGGATGCAGCTGTCACATATTTCAGATACACAGTATATGGCTCCTATATTGATAAGATTTGGTCATCACTGTAATATAAATCTACAGCAAATTATATTTTTAGTAGCGTAATGTAAGAGAACTTATGTTTTCATTTATATCTTTCAACAACAATAATGAATGTTCTACTTTTGTACTTGTAAAGAAATACCAAAAAACTAAACTTCTTAAGTATAACAATTGGCATATCATTAAGTAAAAGTAACTTTCAATTGTTTAATTTTTACATTTTGGTAAATGTAGAAAAAAGTATTGTTAATCTGTATAAATTTTAGTTCCATATTTTTAGTTTTAATTAAAGACAGTAATAAATATTAAAAGTTTATTATACAATTTATTTTGTACAGTAAGATTTTTTTACACATCAAAAATTATTTTTTCTATAGTAAAAAATTTTATATATAACTAAATTTATTCCAATTTGAACTTAGAATATGAACTTTCAAAATTTTCTATTCTTATAAAAATCATGCTTTACTGTAACAAATATGTACAAAAGAGCAAACTTTAATGATTACTTTTTTAGAAACAACATTCTAAATTTTGTTATTTAAATGGCTTTAATTTTCATTTTAAAAATGAAATTTAAAACTTATTTAAATTTTTATAAATTTATTGTACAGTACCTTATTATGAAGAAGACTAGAAAGCACTTTGATTTACTTAACTTATTTACATTTACTTCATAAACTTTTAACATTAAGTTCTCTTAAATTTTAAATCTACGATTCTGAAGGAACATTGTTAACACATCATTTGGAGTTATAACAATATACTAAAAAATATCTTCTCACATATGATTCATATGTTAATAAAAACAACTACATAGACTATTTTTATGTAGATAATATATAAAAACATATTTGTGAATATTTTTTGGGTCTTTAGACCCTCTTCGGAAGTAAAGGCATTAAAAAATTAAAAGTTAAGCTAATCAAAATCTGGACATCAGCATTCCAGATGTTAACTTACAAATTCCCTCTCAGTATTTACTGAGAGGAAAATGCACAAAACCAAATACCACAAATAATATAATATAGAATAACCTCAGATAATCTATACACAAAAATTAATTAAAGTTATGTAGTATAAAAATGACATTTATTGAAACAATTTATATGCACAGTCTTAGAGAAAATACACACATGCATTAATTTCTTATTTGCTGAAAAATATTTTCAATGATTACTAAGGTTACTTATAATAAATACAAGCAACTTTCAATTTTTAGACACTTGTTTTTTTGTTAATGCTACTTTGATGCTGTTATCTTACTTTTCATATACCAAATTCATACTTTTGTATATTTTTCAGTCAACAAACAAAGATTTCTAGCTAACATACAATGGTACAGTTTTGGTAACATTGAAACCATTTGTGAAATTTAATTTTAATTGTCTGTTTTATATTTTATTTTAAATGTAGTTAAACCTTGGTTTAATGGACAAAATTTCCAGTCTGTATGTCATATGTAAAAATTGACACTGTTAATTTTAAAATGCTTTTTATATATAATTAAATTAATTTAATTTTTCAAATCCAAGTCATCACTCTTCAGAACAATTAAAGTGTATTTTCCAAAAATGTTTGTTTGTTTGTTTATTTAGATAAAAAAACTGACAAATTAGTCAGTTTTTATCTAAAAACAAATTTTATTTTATTTTATTTAACAAATTCATTTAAAAAACCTACTTTATTATACAAAAATCTTTTAGCTTTAATGGACATTTTCCCACTGTAATTAGTTCATTAAATCATGGTTTTATTGTAATTTTTTTTACAGTGAATATATAACAAAATATAAAACAAACTTTTCTACTTTAATATATTTAATTTTTATAATTTTTTTGCTCTCTAGGAACAGAACCTCCTTTATAGCATGCAACTCTACTTCTGAAATTTTGAACATTCAATGTTTGGACAAATTTTTAAGAGCACATTTCATCCAAAAGTTGAGGTGAGGAAGTGCTTGTATTTAATAACATCAAATAATGGCACATTTGTATTAAAAATATACATATTCTTCAATCTAAGTGAGAAAAATATGTTTATATGGTTATAAATGCATAGTTTGTAATTTTTATATAAAAAATATACATTCAAAATCCATTTTCTATGTATTCAAATATTACACAAAAATTATATAAAAATGCATATTAAAGTTTATTATAAAATATCTCTATTTCTAATAGTTTAGTTAATTTTACTTTATAAAACTATTTATATAAAACATATTTGCATATCAGAAAACATTTCAAAAATATTCTTTCTGAAAAACATAAAATCACATTTCAAATCAAATGGCAATCAGGTACTAAAATGTATGATATTTAGAATCATTAATTATGATTAAATTTTTAAACTACATTTAACATATAAATTTTATATGCTAATTTATTATTAATGAGATGATAGTCATCAAAGAAGTTGATGACTATCAACTGATCTTAAACTTAATACAGTGGTACCTCAGGATACAAACGCCCCAGCATACAAAATTTTCAGGATACAACATGAAATTCAAACATATTTTTGTTCCACGATACAAACAAAAACTCACCATACGACGTTACATTAGTTTGCAGCGCCATTTTTTATTCACTTCTGTTCGTCGGTCTCGGTCCGTGTGTTTGCTTCATCGTGGAAGGATCTCGTTCGATAAAGGAAATCTTGAGGTATTATCAGAAAGTGACTGATTTTATTGAAAAGAAACATCCTGAAAGGGTTCACACTGGCCGTATTGCCGCTCGGAGTAATGACATTTGCCTAAGTAATTTTAGAAACATTTTAAAAAGTAGGCAAAGCCAAACCTCTTTTGATAGATATTTTACCAAGCGACCTCTATCCAGTTAAAGTGCTGATGGAAGTGAAGGAAAGAAAGCAAAAAGCAGTGAATAAAAATTAAAAAAAATATATATATATATAAAACAACACACTAATTTTTTTATCTTTTCTAAGTTATTTTTAAGTTATTGTTACATTATGTTATGTAAGTTAAGTTTTAGTATCATTTCCCTTTTCCCTCTCCTCTGCCACCAATTTATACTTCCACCGTCATCTATCCTCAAAGGTAAAGTGCAAATAAAACTACATTTTTTTTAATCAATTATTATTCTATTATGGTTATTTATACATTTACAACTACAAAATGCATTTTTCAGTGTTTTCCTTACTACAGTTATTTTTTTTTTATGTATTACTTAGCTTTAATTTGAATGTGTTTTTGTGTTGGAATGAATTATTTGGTTTTACATGTAATCGTATGGGGAAAAATGATTCACCTTACGACATTTTCATGATACAATCTCAGTTTCAGAACGGATTAATTTTGTATCCTGAGGTACCACTGTATTTTTTATTTTATTATATGAAAAGTAATATACAATTTTAAACATTTTAACAGTTAAAAAACTAAAAATATTATATTGTATTTGTTAAACATTGTATGTTCCATATGCTTGTAAGTATTTACAATATATGTCATGTTAAGTTACAACTAACATCATATGTTACTTTATGAATTAAAGACAGTTATATTTACATATTTAAAACTAACTTAATATAATGTATAAGAAGCTATAATAATTAATAATTTAGAAAAGGCATTTACATAAAAATAAATATAAAATTCTAATACTTTAAACTTAACTTTTTAAATAAGTATTTTTCTTACAACACAATGAATTAAGAGTATTTTTTAAGATAGCATTAAAAGCATGGTTATTAAACCTCAAACTTTCTAAGTAAAGTCTTCAAATTTGTTAATTTTTTATAACAATTTACATAAACAATTAATTAAAAGAAATACTTTTTATAAAGTTAATTGTCTTTAGACCTGAGAATTTGAATAAGCATCTATCTTCTTGGGAACACTTTCATTGTTTTGGTCAAGAATATTAGTTTTTCTCCACATTGATATTTCTCCAGTTGGATGAAAAATCAAATAATAAAGAACCTAAAATAAATACATGCTATTGTAATTAAGACAGAAAACTACATATGTATGTTCTTAAAATACTATTTACTATGAAAAAATAGTATAGATCATTCCATATTTCTTGGCCAGGCAATGCACAATACTCTGTTAGGACTCCAAATGTTTCATAAGGTTCAAGAGCTTTGTTTTGTTAACACACAGTGGCCTTGTCACAGATTTGTCAAACAATCTGATTATTCCCGCCACTAAGTAAATAGGGTGGTCTTGCTACTGTGCATTTTTACAGTCCAGTCAAGATTCATGAAACAAGCTGTAAACAACATTTAAAAATTGAAATTATAAGGTATTTACTATTGTATATGTAATGTGCATGGCAGTCCAAATGTTAGTTACTCAGTATAAAAATTTAATTGATGTCTTATTCAAATACAGTGTATTCCAGTAAATTCAGACACATCAGAACTTAGCCCAATTAAGCAGATTCCTCAATTTTCAATTATGCAAAGTTTATGTAGATAGTTAAAACACATAAATAAAGCAAACGAAACCAATCTCCAGCATAATTTTACACAAAAGTAAATGTCATTGACTGTATTAAACAGGCATCAACAGGCTAACTGACCTTCACAATATTTTTGTGTAAAATTATGCTGGAGATTGGTTTCATTTGCTTTGTATACTAAGTATACCCAGTTTTGAGTAGTTGTTAATACATACATATATATTTACATTTTATCTTGTTTATATATATACACACACACAAATTATTATTTACTGAACAATAAAAAACTCTACCATGTAAGTTATCATCTTATACATTTTATAAAAAAATAAACAAAAATAGCATTCTATGTGTAATAGTAATATATTAATGTAACATAAACTTTTTGTTCTTTCATCTTCTTTATTAAACTTATTAGAAAAATTAGTATTTGTTAAATAAAGCAAAATTATATATGTAGCATACTATGTAAGATTACTTAGTAATATTACATAGTATGCTACATATATAATTTTGTAATAGTAATATTTTTTATGGCAAAAATTAATCATTTGGTTCAACAGATCTTAAAATCCATGCATATTCTATTTTGCTTTAGAATAAAAAATTTCAAGGACTTAAATTTTAATACATTGAATTGTAAATAAGAAAGAACTATATACTTGCTTAATTTAAATAATTTAGATATTTATTATATTACAAAAATAAAACAAATTTTATCACTTACCATGAAGAAAATGCCAATGATGAAACTAAGCACAACAATAAAAATGGCAAGCAAATAAAACCAAGGTAACGGATCAACATAATTATACCATACTGCTATTATAATGGTATTTTCTATGAATGTGATGATGAAATAAATTGTGTACCGAAATCTTGTCGGTGAATCAATAGGATTAAAATAGCAAAAGATGAAAATTACACCCAATACTGCATTGTAAAATATTTCTTCAAATCTACAGAAAAAAATTATACACTTATTAATACAATATATCAAAATACAGTAGAGAGTCGATTTTCCGAATCAATTGGGGACTGGGGTTGTTCGTATAACTGATATTTCGGATAACCGATTTATGTACGAAAAAATAGTTTAACGTATCCGATGTTGAAATTTTTCTCCGTTGCGTGTCGCTTCGCGTTGAATTTTCGTCGATGTTAAGCCTAACAAAGACTATTGTATCGTTAAAAATTATTTTTTTGTTTTGTACGAACAAAATAAATATATTGAAAAATATAAAAACAATAAAAAATTATACTTCAGATGTTAATTTAGTATCAAAAACGTAAAATATTTGAGTAGCCCAAGACATAGCCAAAGATTGAAGCTCCACAGCACTGGAGAAAATTTAAATTTGCCGACTGGAAATCTTTCGGATGATTGACGTTTCAGATGATTGACTTTCGGAAAATCGATGCTCTATTGTATTACAGAATTGCTATTAATAATTAATGTAAAGCTAAGCATTTAATTTACTAATTACTTATAAATGTAATCATCATATTTGTAGCATTTACCTCCACCTTTAGTTAACATTAATTGCATACAGTAAAAGAATTATTGAATAGATTACTTTAAATTAAATTTTATTTGACATGATTTGTAAAATGTGTTTTCTTAATAGGAATTTTCATTTAAGATCTAGCACATTACAAATATTTAAAATGTTTACATCAAGAAGCCAAATCTTTAATAGTATAATAAACATTTTTGTCTTGATCCAGGACAACCTCAGTTTACAAGTCATATAAGACAAATATAAATATTGCTATTCTTTAAAATTAACTTAAATTCATATGTTAATATTTTGCATTTTTTGTCTGTATTCCAATTATGCTATATTACTCTGGTTACATGACAAATAAAAACAGGCTAACTGCACTTTAGTTACTAGTTTATTGATATATTTATACTATTGCTAAGCCAAAATGCATTTTGACTGTACAGTCCTCTTGTCAACTACAATATAACAAATGTAATTATTGCTAATTAACAGTGTGTTTCCAACAGAGCATATTTAATGTAGTGCTACAACTAAAGTGTAACTACAAAGCATGTTTTTAAGTAAGTACCTGTTTTGATATTAAAAAACACAACTGCATTTTAAAAAATAATTTTATTCTTACATGAAAGCCTGTACTTTAATCTACTTTTCAACATAATTTACTCCAATATAAAGGTACTTTTCATATTGTACCACTAGCTTCTGAATTCCATCCTCATAGACACCTGCCGCCTGATTTGCAACCACTGCAACACGGCGTTTTGACATCGTTGTTGTAGCGCTGACTGCCTAGATGCCTTTTTCAAGTGGAGGAACAAGTGGTAGTCACTAGTCGCTAGATCAGGGCTATATGTAGGGTGATCAAGTTGTTCCCAGCCATATGACATGATAAGATTTCGAGTTCATTGAGCCATGTGTGGATGAGCACTGTCATGAAGCAAAACAATCCGCTTACTGAGTTTGCCATGCCTTTTGTTTTGGATGATGAAATCGTAAAGCATCTGTTTTCTTGAACTTTTGCAACAACTTTCTGCACCAAGTCTTCATTAAGGACAGATAGTTGCCCACTACACTCCTCGTCATGGACATTAGTACCGCTATCTTTAAATGCTCTAACCAATTTTCTTACCATTCGCTCATAATGTTTTTTCCATACACTTCACTAATCTGCCGATGAATGTCAGCCGCTTTCATGTCTTTTGTATTAAAAAAATGAATCAAATCACCATGTATACTTCTCAATCAGCGGGATTTTCAAATGTCTGAGGCATTTTAAACACACACAAACAAACATAAAACAAATGAGTGCTTACATAAATGTGTCTGTGGCTAGCTAATAGATATAGGTACTCAGCACACATTTGCAGAACACCAACCGTAGCACTGCAGTGGTCCTATTTTAAAACAGTACTTAATTAAATAACATGCCTCGTATTTAAATAAGCAAGAATTTGCTGTGTGATCATTGATCAAATGGTAAAAAATTATTTCAAATAGGAAAATTTTTGAAAATCTTTAGGATATTATCATTCTACTGAAACCCTCCACCTCATCATAATCTGTCACAAAATTTTTATATATCTCCCCTTCCCAGTGTATAAATCATGTTTGAATAATTCCAAAAAAAGATTTTATAATTTTTCTTATTAGTTTCTCTGGAAATGGAATTCATTTGTAACATACAACGTGAATGTTTGACTTTCATACACATTTCAGTTTTGTACCTATTTTTAGGAACACATTCATCGAAAAGTCAGAAACTGTTGGTATTTTTTAAAGTATGGCCAAAAATTAGGGTATTTACCAAAACAATGACTTGATATTTAAAAATACAGTTGACCTCCCTATAACACGGTCGATATGTTCCGCTTTTTATGAAATTCATGTTCTACGAGTCCTTAAATACATGAGCCAATCACAGCCTGGCATGTCTGCAGTTTATGGACTACAGATGTTTGAAAGGTTTTCTTCAAGATTTTCTTCCATAAAATTAATCGATTCTAGATTAATTTCACTCAACATTTCCAAAACACGTATAATTTTTTGGGAATAATCCATATAAACTATGCTATAAACAAAAAATTGTAGGATTACCTACCGAGTGTGCACCGTTCGACGATACCATTGCTTAAGCCTGTTTTCGTTGTGGAGCGACGCATCGAACAGTGGGCATGTGTTTCCTGATAAATTATTTTTCTGAGAAAAATTTGCTGAACTTGGAGACATCATTAATATAAATATAATTTTTATGGCCATTAAATAATAAATTGTTTTTAGTAGGTCCGCTGCTCGTTTAAACTCAACAGTTTGTGCAATATCCGCTATTGGTCTAGATTCGACCAATCCTGTCGCGACACGAGTTGGCGATGACATTTTACAGTATTTTATGAGTTTCTTTTAGTGTGTTTATACAAATACGGTAACAATTTTTTTGCCGCTATATATGAATCTGCATTACATGAACCCATTTTATAGGGGTCTACTGTAAATATACAATATAAAAAGTACGTTTTCTAACCAATTGCTGTCCGTTCGTCTACCAACTCGTTTTGGATTACACAGACGCTACACACTGCATTCAAGATACAGCAACCACGTCCTCTACATTAATAAATAGTTTCTTGTTTGGGCCTTTCTTAATTAATGGATGCAAATGCTTAAGTTTGTAATATCTTATATAACAAATAAGTAGTTGTTTAACTTAAAATATAATGATAATTATATTATTTAAAATTTTATTGCTCAAAACAATGCAAACCCATTAAATTTAAATATTCTTCAGAGTTATAGGTGTAAGCTTCTTGCTTCTAATAAATTAAATTAAAATAATCAAACTGTAATGGATCCAGGAAATTGAGATAACAAAAAACAGTTTGATAAGCCTTGTATATCCCCAACATTTGATTATTTGAGATAATTATTTAATTTAATTCTTCAGAGAGTTTGCCATATTTTCAATATCTAATATAATTTTTCTTAAACTTTGATTCTATGCTGTTTACTTACATAACAAAATTTAAATAATTATTCTATATAGAATCATTATTTAAATTTTATTAGAGAAACTAAGAAATAATCTTTGTAAATTTTAAACTATTTTTTCTGATACTGAATAATAATAATAATAATTTTGTATGTACAATTACCTTTTGATCATCTTATTTTATAAAGAAAGTGATTTTCTATTCAAATAAATTTTTTCTTTATTCTAAAATTAAGCAAAAATTACTTACTTAGTATCACAAAATCTTGTTTTCATTGAAATAATCCAAGATGTCATTATTAACCAATGACAAAAACAAGCAATACCAAGAATAATAGGGGACAAAGTTGCCAATAAACCAAGACTGAGTACTCGTGCAGAAATTATAAAAAAATGCCATAATATCTGAAGAATTGTTCCCGTCCATGAAATATTTTGTTTGCTCTGAAGAGACAGACGTAAAACACGATGATAATATGCCAAAGCCCACGAAAGAGAAAGCAGAGATCCCAGAATTGATAAACCTTGAGCTACCACTAAAAATAAATAATAATAATAATAAAATTTCATATTTAATTATATTTTTATTATTTTTGATTAATGATATGATTTATTTGATAACTATTCCACAACTATTATCAAAACAGCATAATTATACCAAAACCAAGTCTTTATATGAAAAACAATGAAAACTTGAGTATTTAATAATTAAATAATTATTAATGTTCAGGAAATTTTCATTAAATATATTTATACATAGAATATTTTATTAAACAAAATTCTATCCCAAAACAACATTACATTAGCAGACTTTTGTATAAGTATTATAAATATAAGCATAATGAAATGTATTAATATTATATTAAATCAAATCATTTTCAATTATGCCATTCTACATATTTGTATTAGAATATATGATTAGAATTTTAATAAATTATAAACGTAAATCTGGTCATCTAATTTCACCTGGTTACAGGAAAGGAACCAATCAAATTAAAAATTAAGAATGGGGATAAATCTTTTAAAAACCTCAAAATTCAAGGACAAAGTGTCATGATGTCCTTGCCCTTGCTCAATACGGCTGTCCTCTGTGTCAGTTTCCCTGTTGTCTCAGACTTCCTCTTCATTCTGCCAAACTATGCCTGACTTCCAGCCAGTCTACCCTGGAGCTGTCCAATCACTGTTGGATAACCAGTAAACTATAGACTAAACTTAAACCTTGTTTCTGTCAGAGAAGTTTTTGACCAGAATTATGTATGCCTTATCTTCCAAATAAATGGCTTTTTATGTACAGGTGACCTGTGTTGGTGTTGACAACCACACCCACATTACACATGCACCCCTAGTTCATTCTGAAAAGAAGAGGAATTAATCCCTTTTCTTCTCCATGGACAATCTTACAATAGCAATAACTCCAGTAAAAACTACACACTTTTTGAGGATCTCTTAGTGTTTTCCCACAAAACACAATTTTAGATGGTGGACCTGTAAAGATAGCTGACAATTTGTATGGAAATTTGTTAATGACGACAAAAAACATATTCATTCTTTGACACCCAATAGCATAACAAACTATATAGCCTTGTCAACATTAAAAATAATAATAAATAAAATAAATTTTAACTAGTCAGAAAAATATTTAACTGGTTGACCAGCTAAACTGACTCAACACTGCTCAATATTATTCTATCAAATATCTTAAAATGATTAATATTTTTTAATTTTGAAAAATGCTTTAGAATTATAATATAAAAATTAATTTTAAAATACAATAAGACCCTGCTTAATGCTGATTCAATATAATGCAGTCTACTCGAAGCCTAAAAAAACTCAAAATTTACACTGATTTAAATTATCATGGTATTTCATTGATTCATATATGATAAAATTATTTGCAAACACAAACCAATCGGCAAAAGGTGGCAAAAAGGTGTACTTTCCTTAAATCTATATTCGTTTGGTGCAATTTTGGAAAAAACATAACATCATGGATGCCATAGGCAATATCAACTTTGCTGGGCAAGAATTAACTGATAAATGCACGAACGAAGTGTGGAAGAAGTTATGGCTGAAGGGGATAAATCTTTTAATGGATTCTCAACAAGAATTCTCAACAAGAAGAGCTTCGTTAAGTTGACCAAATTCAACCTAATTGATATAGCAGGACTAGGAGATATAGATGAGCAGGATATTGAGGAGTTACCACAGGTTTCTGGTGAGAGCCTTACCAACAACAACCTTCAATAACTGGCAGAACATGGAATTCATGTGAAACTGGAAAATAGAGATTCTGAAAACGAAGAACCCAAAATATTTCTCTACAGATTTCCTTAGTAAAAGTTCAGTAAGATAACCAAAATCATTGATCAAATTGTATCGAATGATCTGGAGTGCTAAAGCAAAACAAGGCATTTTGGATGCAATCTTCTGCTACTGACATTTGCTTAGGAAAGAAAACAGCAACAAATGAAACATCATGACTTTATTGCAAAAGAACAAGAATTTCAGAAAAATCAGGACCTTCGTCACAAAAAATGAACTTTACATTTCTGTGTGCATATGTTTGTGTGTTATTTAACATATATTATTATACAAATTAATATAAAAATAACTTAAAATGAAAGTAAAATTTGTTTATTTTTGGTCACGTGTTCCCCTATCCCTATTTATTCTATGTTAAAATGACCTTGTTTAACGCTGTTACGTTTAGCACTTTGTCATCTAGGAATGCATCCCCTGCGTTAAGCGGGATCTTACTGTATCTTAAAATATTAGATATTAGATATTACAATATAAATTTTAAAAGTTTTACCAGTTAAAGTATCATCCGAGTCGTGTGGCGTTTTTTTAACAATTATATAAATTTGTAATACTAATTGAGGAGCAGCTTCCATAAAAGCTTCAAATAATCTTAACAGAGCAGCATCAGTATCTTCAAAAAGCATTCTTTGGTAATAAAATTCGGTAGTCCTATCTTTCTTTTTCCGAGATTTTAAACCATATATTAGCGAATCTACATATCTGCAATATAAAAGAATTTATTGACATGTATTACTAATTATAATATAATTAATTATCTGGAAAAACAAGGTATAAAAATTGTGATTTGGTTTTATAATGAACTGTTAAGAAAATACATGAATTAATTATTGATGATTATTACAGAATTGTTAAATTAAGAAATTTACCAATCATCATTAATTCAAATAATTTATAAAATACAAAGAAAATTTTCTTTCTTAATATCAATGTAGGTAAATATGAGACACTTTTCAAAACTTTTGTAACAGCATTTGTTAGGATCAGTATTTTACAAAGAGAAATACGTGACAAGGTCTATAGATGGTGTTAAAATCTAATGGAGTATTCATTTTTTCTGTATATATGAGAAATGTTGAAAAAAAGTTTTTTCCTGTCTCATATTTTATCTTCAAAAGCTAAAATATGAGACACTAAGAGGTGAAAAATGAGACACCCATTATATCACCATAAGGACTTGCCTATGCCAACAGGGAGGTTAATAATCAGGTACTGCAGGTTAAATGCAAGACATTTTTGTATAAAACATTGCTCCTTGATATTTAGTTCCCAAGATATATAATTTTTAAAAATGATTTTTTGTACAGCTTATTTTATTGACATTTTCACATGAAATTTTTTAAACTGAAGTAGATAAGATTAAATATTCATCATTGAAAATTACTCTGTAGTTGTGTACAATATAAAAGTGTAAAATAAAACAAAATTTTAAAGACAGGCCTAAACCTAAGTGATTTTATTAATTTTTTTGAACAAAGTATATTGATTATAAGTATTATGATACCAACTATTTTATATTACTAATAGTAAATACATATGGTATAGGACTAAATTAAATGCTTAAAGAATAGAAAGACAACTAAATTGGATTAATAATTCAGTAGGCTATAGGAAAGAAGAAAAGGAAAGGAAGGAAAAGGAAAAATACAGTATATGCAAAATAGTAAATACTGTACACTTTTTTTTCAAAAATATACATAACTAGCTTAGTCTAAATAAAATAGGCCTACATCAAAATAAAACGTTTCAGGAACAATTGATTATTTATTTAATTAGCATTAAAAAAATAAAACTATAGCCCTGTTGTTTTCTGTGTATTAACATTAAGGTTAAATTTGGTGTAGATCTATTACATTTCAAAAATATTAACAGGTTGAACTTAAAAAAGTTTCATGGATCAGACATAGATTAACTCAAATTTCACAACTCTCATATTTTCCAATTTTTCAGACTGTCTCATATTTACCCACATTGACCCAATATTTTTTTGATAGTTTGATAAAAGTGTTACAATAAATCATTTTTATAAAATTTAAAGCAATAAATAAACTTCACATAAGGCTTAAAAAAAGTTAAACTATTTATCACACTTAATACTTAATTTTGAAGTACAGGTAACCCCCGTATAACACGGGAGTTATGTTCCAAAAAATTGCCGTGTTATGCGAATTCGTGTTATACGAAACAAAGAACTAGTGCGAAAAGGGGGGTTAGGTTCCAAAAATTAAAAAACATACTGTTAAATCCTTATTTAAATCGGATTTATTATTCATTTTTTTCATAGGTTAAACACTTATTTATTATTTAAGTAAATATTTTACCAGAGGATTATTCATCCTATATGATGATCTCAGCATGAGCATCATCAACTGGTAACAGTTTTTGGGTGTATTCATTAACAGAGGTCACTCTGCAATGGGAGTGCGCTGCTGTTTGTAGGCATTTAGGAACGACAGTGAAAGAAAGATGGCGGCACCCGCACTATCGATAGTATCGTGATGGAGGAATCTATAATTCTAAAATGAGCTTTCAGAGGCATAAGAAGGGTCCCAATTGTAAAATTTAACCATTAAATGGATTATTGTTGAAAGAGCATTCAAAGTAGCCATGAAAACAATTAGAATGCTCGTGCGGAGTTATGCGGAAGTATAAAAGAATGCACCTTTATTACATTTTATGTTGTACGAGGGTTTTACCCAATTCCCAAACTGTGTTAGAGTGAACCCGTGCTATAAAACCACCGTTTTATAAGGGGACATTTATACGGTTTGAGAATTGGGAACATCTCCCAATTCTTAAACCGTGTTAGAGTGAATCCGTGCTATAGAAGTGCCATGTTATATGGGGGTTACCTGTATTGTATTTCCTGTAATAATTGCCCATGTAAATATTCTTGTAATAATCTCCCATCTAACTTGTACTGTAAACTGAATCCGGTTGATCTAAATACTGGTATGTTAGTGGTATTCGATACTATTCAATAATTTACTATTGATATGATATTTACCAATTTCAAAGTCAGAAAAATGAATACCGGCTAATATTAAGCTTACCATAATATTTTTTTCTCAAACTGGGACAATTTTGAGACAATAGAAAATAAATCCTACTAGGATATGTATTTATGATTGAAAAGGCTATATAAAAAGTTGTTAACAAAAAATGAGTTAAAAAACAATTTTTAATAACTCAATTGAACATACCTTATTATTAAGAAGTTATTAATATTTATAATTAGTGTGAACTTTCTTTAAAAATTCTTTGTCACTTAAATCAGTACCTTTAAAATATGACAATATATTTGAGAAAATTCCTATTGCTACTAGGATTGCATATGTTTTGCATATTTCAAGTGATTTTTAATGTCTGAACATCCACCGTAAGTTACTGAAAATTCTGAAAAACACAGTTCATATTTTATTTTGTCAATATGATCACAGACTTTTTTAATCATCAGTAAACATACTGTTTCTTTTTGGCATTTTGAAGATTAAATTATTTTAAAGTACAGTAAAAAATAATTGCAAATGCCAACTAGCAATTTGAATGCGACTAAGATAGGACATGAACAACAATGACGTGACCAGTGTAAGTTTTAGTATTTCCAACTCTAATTGAAACAAAATATCTAAAATATGAAATAAAAATATCTAGATCTCATAGGCTACGTGCTATTATAAATTCTATGAAAAAATATATAGATGAAAAAAATAAAACATCTAAATTCATTAGGCCACATGCTTTAAATCTTGGGGGGAAAACATCTAACAGCATTAAAAGTACTTAGATATAGATACAAAATATTTAGATTGGCATCAGTGAGTGTAACGGAGGAGATATTTTAGTTGCCAAATTGCCATTTTACCCGAGGCTGCACTATTTTTACTTCTTGTATACTTGGCATTTTAAAATTTTACCAAATAACCAGGACAAAATGACAAACTGGCTGGGATGCAGGGACCACATAATCAATACCAGATGTCCTGTAGGCTTACCAAACGGGACGTCTGGTAAGCCTAGCTAATATCATTATTGATGTTCTTTATTACTGATATTGGGAATTATTGAAGTTTATAAAGTTAATTAAGGTAATTCAAGTACTTCATTCTAATTATTTTTTATATATTTGTCACAATATTCTAATTTAACTAATTTTAAATTACACTAGTTTACAGCCATTCTGCAACTGTGGGGAAAAAATATACTTTTGTTAATTCCTATGTACTGAATACAAAATGAAGTTAAAAATTCTTTGGCATATAAGGTTTTTGAGTTGTGATCTTGAAGAATTTAAAAATACTTGATGCAGAGACAATGTTAAAATACAGATATGTGGAGACTTAAAAGTTATAAGGCTGTTACTGGGACTTCAGGATTGATTGTTTTCTTTGTCTTTGGGATAGTAGAGCAGCACAAAATCATTTTAAAGTAAAAGAATGGCCTCAGAAATTAATTTGTTCCAGATCAAGTTAATGTAAAGAAGATACCTCTACTTGATCCCAAAAAAGTCTTGTTATCCCACAACATTAATTTGGATTAATAAAAATGTTCTTCAAAACACTGGATAAAGAAGGTGCTGCTTTCAAATACCTTAGACAGATTTATTTTTAAAATAAGTGACACTAAGCTTAAAAAAATTTGTTGGACCTCTAATCAGAAAATTACGGCAAGATGAACAATTTTCTCAAAAATTGAATGATGTTAACTAAATGCATGGATGTCTTTTAAAGGAGTTGTAACACAGTGCATGGGCAACATAAAAACAGAAAACTGCAAAAAAATTATAGGAAAATTACTTTAAAACTACAATATAATGGATGTAGAATGTCCCTCACACTACACTTTTTACATCCGCATTTAAATTTTTTCCCCAAAAATTTGGGTGACTTCAATGATGAGCAAGGAGAGATTCCACCAAGATAAAATAACTGTAAATTCTTGATTTTGTCTTTCTAGTTCAGAATTATTGGAATTTGGTGTAGTACTTGTTTCCACTCTTCCAGTAATGCATGAGTTTGTGACATCAGACCATTTATTTGTTATATAATTTGTCTAAGACTTTCACTTGATGAAACTTCATAATTCTTGTAATTGAAACTGTAAATGTTCATTGGCTTGGCAATGACTGTCTAAAAGAACTGCACAAACCCAACATATTAAATGGAAGTGTGGAAACAAGTACTACACCAAATTCCAATAATTCTGAACTACTGTAGAAAGGCAAAATCAAAAACTTGGAGTTCTTTTAGATAGTCATCGCCAAGCCAATGAACAGTTACAGTTTCCACCAAGATATTGAGAGATCAGTATTCGGTAAGATCTCCGCTCACTTGTCATGGATGGCTTTTAGAGGAGAGCTTTAAATTCAAGTGGGGAGGAATGTGTCAATTTCATCAGGAATCGACACATTAAAAAACAGGAACTTCAACATCTCTTCCTTGGAGGAAGTAATAAGATGTTGGTTTTGATAAAATTTTCTTTCCTGTCTTCCCACGGTTAAGTAAAATAATTTTCCTGTCTAGTTAAAAATATTATATAATCTACTCCATATTCAATTCCCCTTCTTTACGGCCCTCTAAATCTAGGTTCTCACAACATCCTAACAATGGAATTTACTGTTAGTAAATGAACACCATCAAACTGAGTTTCTTAACTGATTATTTTTTGTAGTGAATGAACAATCTTATTCTAATATTGTAAGTAGCATCTTAGATTTTTTACTAGAACAGCTATGGATTTTGATGGATTCTTTCAATTGTGAAATCAAACAAGTTGGTTTAAAAATATCCATTTTCCTATCACAAACTAGATATGGTACCTGAGGAACTGATTTACAGGAGTTTTAGAGTCTAAGTTAAGAAACAAAAAAATGTTTATTAATGATATATTGTTCAGTTCTTTAATAAATTTTACAGACTTTTGCTACACATTATGATTCACAAAGTAATGGAGCAATCACAAATCATTATTTTTTTCAGACTGCATAACAAACACAGGAATACATTAAAATGGTATTTAATTTCAATTATCTTAAAATTTCAACATAATACTAGTTTTGTGTTACATTAAATTTGTCATTTCTTTTTATAATGTAGAAAATAATATTTACTGTATTTACTGACATATAAGATGCACCCCATTTTCAGTCAATACTTTTCAGGGGAAAAAGTGCCTCTTATATGTCACAAAGATGGTAGTTTCTTTTATAAATTAAATCATATTTCCTCGATTTTAAAATGCATTTTTTAATCAATATTTCTTTCCTGAAATTGAGTCAGGTCTTACAATTGTTGGCATCTTACATTCATAGTCTAAAACAATAATCAAAATTCATCACACATTATATGAGTAATGCACCATTAATAAATGTAATAAATGTTTAAATTTCTTTTTAACACTTCAAGCAACATTATGATGTAGCAATAAAATAACATTATTGAATATGCAGAAGAATGCAAAAACAGAGCCAAACATATCTATTTTATGGAATTTATACATTTTTCTAACGTTACATAACAAAATAGAACTGTTTTAAAATCTCTCTCAAAAAGAAAAAAACAACCTTAAAATTTGATTTTAAATTCATGATTTATCTTAAAAGCAAAACTAAATACAGCAATGCTTTTTTCTAAAAAAATGACTGCCAGTATGCACATGTGATGACTAAACAACTAGCTAGCCAATACTACATACTAGCTATGGATACTTTTCTCATGCTACCTGCCGGTACAATGTACCGGTGCATGCCAGCCAAAAAATAGCCCCGAATACAACACATATTTACCATTTTCTTCGAAACATAATAATTTTTTATGCAAAATGGGATACCAATGCAGTAGTCTACAAATTAATACAGAGTATTCTTTCTATATGATACTATTAAGTTTAGGATAAATAAAAGTAAGTGAAAGAATCAATTTTGTTTTCATTAAGGTCTATGATAGCTCTACCTTGAATATAGTGTTTTTATTATTAGCTAGCAATTTTATAAAAATTGTTAGCTAATACTGTAATAAAAAAAAAAGTAAACAATGTGGAATCATCATATTTTTAAAAAAATAGTGATTCCATATTGTTTACTTTTTTTTTTTACAAAAACCTTCACTATCGTGGACAGCTCTAGGAGGCAAAGGTGATTGCCATTCCACCCCGAAATAATTTATTACAGTCTGTCTATACCAACCATTACTGTAGAGTTGCTTTAAATACGAATTGCTTATTTGCCAAGTAATTACACATTCTCACTACTTGTTACCAAAAATCAATTGCTAATTTGTTGGTTTGACAACAAAACATGCAGATAACACCCACTGCACCTCCGCCCTCCTGCACCATCACCATCGGAAGCAAAAAGATCCTCCAATGTCTTATTTGCCATTGGCAATATACATTAATTAAATATTGTGTAAAAAGCCTACATTCCACAAAAATTAATATAATGCAGTGTTGTATTATATTGATTCCATCCCTTAAAAAAAAAATATAAAAAAAATTTGTATCCTAAAAACAGAAGTAAAATAAGTTAGATCAGTGGTCCCCAACCCTGGGCCGCGGACCGGTACCGGTACGTGGATCAAATGGTACTGGGCTGCCCAAGGAACATTAAATTACTGGTATTTCCATTTTATTTACTATGGTGTATTTCTCTCGGGTTTGTGCGACTTTTAATGGACGACGGAACGACGAAATAAACTGGACATAAGAAACACACTTCGAGCGTCATTGTCTCCTTTTACCCCCAGAGGGAACCGTCTTGTTGCAAAAATACAAGCTCAGGCTTCTCATTGATTTAGCGTTCTTGTGGGTTAAAATGTTAAATCACATTATATTCATTTTTTGGTTTAACTGTATTTTATTTCAAAGGCATGTTTAAATACAATTAAATTAAAATTATTAAATTAAATCAATCTAAAATATAAACAATCAACGTCCCCCCTCAGTAGGCCGTGGTAAAATATCAAACATTGACCGGTCCGCGGCGATAAAAAGGTTGCGGACCACTGAGTTAGATGACTTATTTTCATGTAAACTTTTCACTCTTCTCTAACTGCACTTAAATAATAACTAAACCTCGACAAAAAAATTAAAAATGCTGCATATTAAAGGTTAACTTTTCAAACGTTTTCGGTCATTTGAATGACCTCCTTCGGGAACAGAAAATCGAATGATTCCGATTTCTATAAAACGAAATTTTGTTTTGGAGCGTTTGAATTTTCTTGGTCATTCAAACGGCTGAAAACGTTTGAAAAGTTAATAAAAAAGGCTGCACGTTAAAGGTTTTTGTCGCGGTTTGACGTGAAACTTTATCACCAAATATGTTTATAAATTACCTCAGAACTGGTCCTAATTGGAATGTAAGTAGAACAGAACGAGCAAACCATTTTAAACGAGAAGGCTTGGGTATTTTAGCTTCTTCCAATATTCTCAAATCTTGTAGGTACCAACGAATACTAAAGCACGTCATGGTTAGAGCAGGAACAATAATAAATATCGTCGTCAAAATGAAATATTTGATATTTCCATCCGTGTAATGTAAATAAGCTACCACGATATCCATTACGGTATCAAATAGAAAAGTTATAATCGACCAAATAATACCGACAACTTCCAATGTTGTAAAATAAAATTTACGCTCCGAAGAATCATCTGATCTAAGTACTTTTCCGTCTACACAATCCAAATACGTTTGTTCCTCGTTACTGATTTCGCGTAGATTTTCTTTGCAGCGTACCATCTTGTCACGTTAAAGACCGAATAAACAACGCTTAAACGCTAACAGGAACGATCGACACAACACGTGTGCTACTCGTGACATTTCCCGGAATATTTCATCTCGTTTTCCAAAACGTCACTTCCTTCCTCTTGGCTTCACTCTTCAACTTTTTCTTGTCATAAATATTAACGTTAACACTTTAGTCGCACGATATTTACTTTTGCTCGCTTTATTATTACATAAATACATTTATGAAAATTTTTGGTAAAGCAACTAAGCTACGAAGGGATTCTTCGAAAAAACCGCCACGAAAATGACACGACGTGCAAGACGTCATCATCGAAACTCGATTACGTAATAAATTGCTTAAATTATGTATTTAAAACATTTTTCTGATTTGATAATTGATTTAAATGGATAAAAAGTATATTATTTTTCACTTTCATTATTAATTTACATTTACGCTCCGAAAAATTTATCTCACTTTCGGAAAAATTACGTCGACTATTTCGTATTATTGCGTTATTGTCAAGTTTATAACGCAATAATACGAAATGCGATATTTAACTGTTCGAAAATTAAATATTTATTTTCCGTTGGGAATTTCCAAGTTTATTAGAATTCTTTCTTAAATTTTACCATTTCGAAACACCGTTTATCTTAATTTCATTTTCGTTGTTAAAATATAAAATATGTGTAGAATTTTAACAATTAAAAATTACATTTAGCAAATTATGCGAAATATTTATTTCATAAAAACTGATTTAGTCATATTAACATCGGAATGTCGTCATCGCTACTTTGTATTGACCTTCGATAAACCTGTTTTAATTGGAAATCTTTTATTTATAAAAATAAAAATATGAATCTAGTTTAAAATTATCTTTTGTTAAGAATGAATGCAAGAAAGATTTGTAAATGTCCATAACATAAATTTAATTGATAATTTTTCAATCTGGCAACTTCGAACTGAGAGAATTTCGGGTGAAGCGAAATTTTCGTAATCGCGATTTTGAAATAATTCTCGAGAGAATTTATAAGATATAAAAAATATTTCATAATATTTTCATTATGGTATTTTAATTACCAGACGGCCGGATAACCGATGAACAAATCTGCATGGGTCGAAAAATCCCAATTTTTCGGGGTGGATACGTTTCGTGCGCCCCCACCACATCCATTAAGAGCCTAGACAAACCCACGTGGTCGTAGGAATAAAAGGCCCTCGGTGCCCACAAAACGAACGGAAAAAAATTGGGAAAAAAAAGTTTTTCGAAGAACTACACGGCAATACGGAACACCTCAAATGTGAAGCCAACTTTACAGGTTATCTACAATTAAAAACAGAGATAACATTCAATTGGTAAAATTTGCACGTAATTTTCTGTAGGCCTACGTGATGCGCGACTCGTTTCATCATAGCTTCGGACCTGCACTAAATTTATGTAATTATATTCGATTTTCCATCACCGTGCGGAAATCGACCTCTAACCTGCCATATTGTTGAATCTGATCTTTATCTGTTGTGTGAATGGCTGCTTTGTTGGCAAACTCTTTATGCCAGGCAAAAAGTAGAATACTCGCCAACTTTGACGTTGTTTTCCAAGCATCACGTCTATGCAGGAAGTTGACATTTGCATTGTTACGATGGATTATTTATCTTGTTTTTACACTGGTGAGAACTAGACTTTACACGTCATAGATCGTACACTTAAGCCCTTCTGCCCGGTGAAAATGTTTATGGTGACCGGATGTGGCGGAGGCATACGCACGTCCGTAATAAGACGGCCACTGTGTTCACGTGCCTACGTTTTGGCCGTCGCTTGTACGATCGCAAAGATTTACGTAATGTGATGCCTTAACTTTATGCAAAACAATATTTTCTTATGGAGGAATAACGTGGCACAAAATGTAAAGCACGCGTGTTATTCGGGAATCCACTGTACTTGCTTTCTTCTATTGCAATTTGCGAGAATTTAATTTTTGGTCTTTTGGATTTTGAGGTGCGGATACTTCGGGTTTGCTCGGATGCCAAAATCGTTCGGCGTGGATGTGTTTAAGCAAAAATAAACTCAAATAAAAAAAGTTACATAATATAAAAATGGCATTTATTTTTTAAAATATTTGCACAATCATAAAATAAAAAATATTTGTACATGGATATTTCCATTTTTGGTAACAAAAATTTCAATGAGTATTGAGAACACATTTTATGGCAAAAATGTTTACAATGGGTAAATATTAATACATTTTCTTATGTTTGATTAAAGAATATATATTTTATATAATCTAAGAGAGAAAATAAGCACACCAGACAAAAAGTTAGGCACTCCTAACAGAAATGACAGTAGGTTGTGTGGAACGTGCATCGAATCATTGGGAGATAAACATCACAGATATAATCTACCAGATCATTTCTGTCTCGTGAAGTGGCGAAGAGCAATGTGAGTATCGAATTGAATCTGCAACGTGGGTCCTACAAGACATCACCTAGTGGTAAAAAATGGTGTCCTCCCGTTTGACCATGCCCACAGACGCAGAGGGAATGAAGTCCAATTTGTCGGTGCATCAAAAAGTACTTACTGTCTGGCGGGCCTACGAACAGTGGCATAGTTTGCAGTCGACCGAAAATAGTTTGATGGTGCAATGGCACCGTCGTCCATTATTAAGTATGTTCTGACAAGGCCAACTAATTTTTGTCCGGCATGGTTACTTCTACATACATAAAAATTATAGTTTATGGGCACATAGGAAAAAAAATCTATATTTAAAATTCATTCTCTAGGTACAAAAATATTGCATCAAAGTTAAAAATTATACAAAAACATGTATAGAAGTTTTACTATAAAAATATTTATTATTATTATGTACGCTATTTTTTTCCTTATACAAAAAAATTTGTATAAAAATATATTTTGTATATTTTTAGAAATGTTTTAAAAGTACTTTCCCAAAAACATGTACAGTACAGTTGCATTTCCAATAAGAAAAATAATGACTTAGTAAGAATTAAAGTACTTTTTTGATGAATTAAGTACTAAATTTAAGATCATTTGATATTGCCCAGGTATATGAAAAGGTAATATACAATTTAAAACAAAATTTTCATAAAGAAACCAGATCTAAAAGTTTGTTGTACTGTATGTTGTACAGCAGCATACATTTCACAGCAAATTGCTAGAACAAAAATAAAATCTTCACAAAACCCCAACTCCATGTATATCCTGAGCCTGTGGCATAGTAGCTCAGGATATATATGGAGTTGTGATTGGTACAAGGTTGTGATTACAATTTAAAACTGGCATATAGTCTGCCCCGTTGTGTAACCTAATTTTGTAACGCTTTCAATTTATCATCTAAACATGGTTAACTTGTGAGTTATACCCGGTAAAAAATGCAGTATTCAATGAGCATTAAGTTTCATATAATGTAACAATATAAAAAGTTTTTGACATAACATATATTGTAATATGCTTATAAACAACTATATTTATATAACTGTACTTAAAAGTTGATTTAATATAATATAAAACATACAAGAAAAAAATCTAAGAAAAAGTATTTACAATGTAATTATTAATATACTTTGTATATTTAAAACAATTTTTTTAAGTACTTAAAGAACTTAAAGAAAATTTAAAAAAAAAGGAGTTACTTAAAGTATTTTGCTTATATCAATACAAATTAGGAGTATTTTAAAATTAACACTGGAAACTCGGTTACTAAATCTCAAACTTTCTCCATGGGTATATTTTCTTTATTTTGGTCAGAAGTAGAATTGGGTTTTCTCCATATTGATATTTTCCCAGTCGGGTGAAGAGTCAAATAGTAAAGAATCTAGAATAAATATAAAAATAATATACATTTGTATTTAAGAAAAACTATGTATACATGCTCTTAAAAACAAAATCATCATCTACTATATAAAATATATAATACACACAATATTTATTCTAATAAGCAGTGCCCTCTAATATAAAGTGAGCCACCTAATGGAGATAAGGAGGAAGATAAGACTTATTCTAAACTGAAAAATTGCATATTTCATTTAGCACTGTCACTCTTACCATATGTTAAAGTAATGAGTGTGTGCTAAGTTTTTCATATAATAGTGAGAAAAAATTACTGGATTTATTCTATTAATAGTCACTCTCAAATGTAAGTTATACCTAATTTCCAAAAAATAGAAATAACATGTACCCTGTAATAGTAGATGCATTCTAATAAACAGTCAGCTGCAAGATGAAAAAGTTATAGATAGTGCATTATTTTTTAGAATAAATATTGTGGCAGAATGCCATATTTTTTTTGTCCTCTCTTCTTCTTATACTCTTTTTGTCTCCCAGTTTATTCCATTATTGTATAAACTTGTTCAGACCAGCTCCTTTGTTGTACCAACACTAGGGTAGACCCCCTGCCTGGGAAGGACTCGTCCAATGGGTAGAAGGAAGCAGCATGAGGATATGAACAAGGGAGGAAACAAGGGAGACCACTTCGGACGTGGATTTCAGAGCTAAAGGAAGGGTCATCAAGATCTTTGAAGACTGAGATCTCTCTGAAAAATGTCAGGTATCTAGTTAAGTAGTATGATAATCATAATGGCTATTATCATTGTGGTTTACTTTTAATTTTTTTAAAATTTACTACAAATCATATTCAGAAATAAAACTAAAGGGACCAAGGAAAAAAAGAAATGCAAGCTATCAATCAATCTGAATAATTTAGAATATTCTCATTTAGCTGTCAACTTGACTGTTGAGAAGGACAAAAATTGTAATCCTTGACAATCATGATCAATTCTAGTTATATTAGATAGAACAGCTCATAAAAAAATTATTATTAGTGATGGGACGATAGCAAAATTTCTCCAAATTCTGATTCTTTTGAATACAATACTTTCTAAAGTTTATTTTAGTTTAGAAAAATTAACGATTTACATTAGGAGCACGGTACATTCATTAATTAATAAACATCTAGCTGAATAATGGAAAATGGGAAATCCTGAATCAATCTTTTGAAAGAAATATTAAAATTCTCCATTTATAAGTGGATATGCATGCTTTTATTGTGTACTATAAAATAAATTTGTAATCTTATTTCAAATAAAGTTAATCTTGTAATTTCTTTGAGAGTAGTGTTACAACTAATTAATTCACTTTAACTTGAAGAACTATCCCATCATGTCATGTTGGATCACCATCTTTGGAAAATGCTTCGTTGACCAACACAATGACCACAGATAGGGGAACATAAATGAGAATATGCATTTTTTTCATGCTTCTTGCAATGGGCATGTCTCATAAATAATTTAAATCCATCATATTTAATACTAAATGAGGTTTGGCAAATGACCCAAACAAATATCATCATCACAAGTTAACCAGTTTTGGAACTCATTCATGTCATGAATATCTAAACCGACTTGTCTTAAAAAAATTAATTTTTAAAACTCAAAATGGCAGTGTAACAATTATTTTTACTCAGAATTATTATTTTTACTGCACAAATCTCATTTGAAAAGTTAACGTATTACAGCACATCTGTGAATCATCATAAAAACTTTCATAATTATAATGAGAAAGTTGTTTTGTAATTATAAGTAAAGATAAGAAATATTAAAAACAATTTTATATAATATTGTTTCAATTAAAATATAATTTTGTTTACATTTTAAACTGTTTTGCCAACCAACAGCCTGGATTTGGAACTCAAAAGCCCAATAGCTCAATCAATGTTAACTCGCTTATAATTAAAATTTTTAAAAAATAGGCAAATTTATGAAAAAAAAATTAATGAAATTACTAAAAAATTAAAATAAATTTAAATTTAATTATCTTTCGTGCAAAACAACACTAAAACAATTTCTATAGTCATGTGGCAAAAGAAAAGAGTTGCAATTAATTTAAAAAATTGTAATTAAGGATTAAAAAAATGTAGGCAAAATTAAATAAATAAAAATTATTAAAAATAATAATTAAAATCTTTACACTGAAATCAAAACTAAAAATAAAATTAAATTAATCAAAATTAAAATGAAACCAATTGAAAATTAAAAGAATGTTTTTAAAAACCATTTAAAAGTTATTTTGAAATTTTAAAATTGTAAATCAAATTAATTTTTAAATTTACGTTATTTATGTGAAGTTGTAACGCCTCATAAAAACTTTGCTTTTAACATACAGGGTGTAACAGAAAGATATGTAAAAATTTGAGGGTTTGTAGAGGGGTAAATTTTGAGTCAAAACTCTAGGGCCATTTTTTGATTTGTGCATTCATTTTGAGTTATAAGTGATGTTAAAAATGTGACATCACTTCCTGTTTAGTGAAATGCCAACTGATGTATGAAAATATTTGTTGATAATTGCACGTTAGTTTGATATTCATTACTTATTATCTGCAATTTTATTAATTTGTTACTTGGATTTTGAGTCTTTTTTGTAACAATACATGGCTTAACTTTGTAAGTATGCTTGAGGCTGGTGGTAAGTTCTTCGAAACTCCTTTTTCTATGTGAAGTGTTTTGCATTTGTCTGTCCTTGGAGTATGAATGTGTGATTTTTAAGAGTTGATGAAGTTGTTTTTGTATGGATGCATAACGTTTTATTTCGTCCATATACAGGAGATGTAACAGTGTAAACTATGTTGTTTTTTCATGTCTAATATTGTAACCATATTGCATGTTTTTTTAGCATGTTAGATAATGGGTTCAGGGCTAATCAGAACCAGAGAAGACTCAAGGAATCTCCTTGAAAAATTCCTCGCCTAATGAATATTCTGTTTGTATGGAAGTTTTATGAATCCTGAGATGTAGTGTTGTTCTCCAGTGCTGCTTAGTGTTTTGGAAGAATGCAATGAATGATGGATGTATTTTGTACATGTGTAGAATATGTAGCAGCCAACTGTGTGGAACACTGTCGAATGCTTTTCTGTAGTCTATATATGACATGTGTATGTTTCTGTGTTATTTGTGTGCTTGCTGTAAAATGACTGAATCTATGAGTAACTGTTCTTTGCATCCCCTGTGATGTCTATGGCAACTTATTATTATTATTTTTATGTAAATGTAGTAGCTGGTAAGTGTTGAGATAGTAGTTGAGGTTTAATATAATTCCCAAAAGTCAAAATAACTGAAACAAAATGGAAATTAAATAAACAAAATATAACTATAAATAAAAATCTCTCTTGCTACCTCCAGTGTTTTTTTCATGTGCATGTGTGAATTTTTTTAGAAGTATTTTACTAACAATCTAAATGCAAATAACCTAAAAGTATATGTATTTTTAAAATCTGATATAATATGAATGTCTATTACAATTAAGTAAATGAATATTATATTTTTTTATGGCTTTTTCATTAAATAATTCATCATCATATTTATCCAAAGATATATATTTGTATTAAGTAGAACATAAAATTGTATATAAAAATACTTTGCATGTGTGAGTAATACAAATAGCCATAGCTCTGAAAAACAATCATTTTGGACAGTAAGTATTAAAATCCACACACACACACACACACACAGAGTGTCATATCAAGATTGCTTAAACTCTACATAACAAGAGAATCCTCACTTGGAGTGCATGAAAAATTGACCCAAGAACCATACCTCTATGATCCATAGTTTTTGAGAAAAATGCAAAAGAAAAAGTATGAGGTTACATCTGGGGCACAGAAAATAAGGTTTATTGGAAACACGAATATCAATACTTACATGCAAGCTCCTTTTTTGGCACCGGTGTTAGAGGCAGTAGTGTCAAAACTCATAGCTCAGACTTTATTTGTGACATTCCACTGTTCCATTGTGTCAAAAACAACATCAGACATTTTTTCCCCATTCATGCAGTAAGTTTGGGTACACCTAACAGTTTTTCACAACCATTACTGGATTGGAATCGGAAGGCACTCTACTTTCTTATTACCTGTTAAGGAGAATGAACGCATGCGGCGTGGCAAGGAAAAGCGGTGATGCAAATGTATCTTTGCTGCGTGGCAGCACAACCATACAAGCAGCAATCTGCTTACATTTCGGTGCATGCGTTCAGTATTCAAGATGGCGAACAATACCGACACCACCCCTATCCAATGTTTACAAATTTTGTTTTGTACGACTTGCTTTATTTAGCTAGAAGATTTTGTCGAAGATTCAAACGAAGACTTTGAATTAGAGAAATTTTTTTGGATCGAGAAAGAACGGGTGTACAAAATAGACTTATTCGTCGATTAAGATCTCTTGATAAAGAATACTATTTTGAGTAAGATTCGGTTGTTTTGTTCTTTGAATTAAATTATATATGATTATTTGTGTAGAATTTGTGTTAAATTTATTATCCTTTCCTCTTTATTCTGATGTTAGTTATCTTGGTTAACCGCATCGAACTTTCCGCCATTAAAACACCACGTGATTGTATTTTCTCACGTGACTACCAGCCGAACTGTTATTGGCTGATAGAAATGCATCTTAGCGGCAGTCGCCACAAAAGATAGAATTTGGCCAACTTTTGCGGCACGAGAAAAGCGGCACAAAATCAACTTCTGCAGTGAGAAAAAGTGACGTCATTCAGCCACTTTTCCTTGCCGCACCGTATGTGTTCATCCAGCTTTATATCAGGCAGTATTTTCCCATCCCAATGTATTATAAGTAGATAAGTCGGGTCGAATGTTTCTTTTATATTCTCATTGAATTCTGTCCTTGCTTTTTTTCTTGCATGTCAAATTGTGCTTTGAAAGATTTGGAGTGAAGTGAGATTACAACCAAGTGCGGCAGACACTGGAATAATCAGTCGCACTGCTTCTTGGTCAGTTATTTTGTTACAATCAAGAGCGCTGGTAACATGTGTAAATATACCACTAGTTGATGGCACAACGTCACTGGCACTCTGTGTCTTTTTTGGTAAAGCAACCACAAAATCATCATCTTGCTCATCTTTTAAAGTGCTACTGAAGCTGAAATCAAGTTCTAGTTCTTGACTTGACACTACTGAAGTTGAAGCATTACTTTTAGCAGCCTTTTCTCTTAATTCTTCAGCTCTTTGTTTTTGTTTTAGAGAATGTTCTTTGGTCTTTTCCAGCTTCTTGTCAATCAATGTCATAATCATCTTACACTCACCTCTTTGATCAATGAGAAACTCTCTGTCTTCTGCAATTTTGATTGAGTTTGTGGCATTTGTATGGACAATATCAATAAGTTTGTCTAGCTCTTCTGTAAACAAATGCTCTCTATTTTTCTGTGCTTCCGAATCTCTTGTTTTATTTTTCTTTAAAAGCAGCCATTTCTTATGAATTTTTATAAGTTTTTCAATGCAGTGATTTGGTTGTCTGGTCGGAATACCAGATTTGCTCCACACCTCTATGACTTCTTGAATGAGCATATGCGCAGAATCTTTCACATTTTTTGATTCATTTAATGTGTAGTGATAACAAAGTAGAACTTGCCGAAGAGTTGGAAGCTGGTTAATCCTTACCAAAGGCTCAAGATCCCGACATCCAAGTAGAAAAATGTTGTCTTTTTTTCGAATTGATGAACTCATTTTAATGCACTGATTCACTCACAGTCTAGTAAAAAACTTTGGTACTTATTTATAAGTACCAAAGTTTTTTATGTTTGTCTATAAAATTCTTTAACAGTTGTATTTAAAAGTAGATTTGATTAATTTAACACACAAAACTGATTGTAACAAAAAATCAAGATCAAGCATTTTTCACAAAAATTTCAAAAACAGCACTCAATTGAGCACCCTCTTCCACTAAAGCTAGCCAACTGAAATTATACAATGTTATTGCTATGGATACATGTTACAAATTTACGTGGTGGCCAAACTGAAAAACAAAAAAAAATTTTTATGTACCACCCTAATGCACATGCTGTAGAATGGCTGACTACACACAATCCAGCATCGTATCATCCACAATAGTGAAATAAGCACAAAGACAAGTAACCAAGATTGTGTGCTGTCAGCCACTTTACGGTGTGTGCATGTATGCCTCGATACGTGCAGTGGTCATTTTGAGCACATTATGCTTACATAGGAAGACTATGTAAGCATAATGTCATCTGCAAGTATTGATGTTCATGTTTCCAATAAAGTTTATTTTCCATGCACATTATATTTTTTCTTTCAAATTTTTCTCAAAAACTATGGATCTTAGAGGTATGGTTCTTGGGTCATTTTTTTATATACTTCAGGAGGATTCTCTCACTCTGTAGAGTTTATGCCATCTTGATGGGACATCCTGTATATGCTAAATCTAAATAATGCATCTTAGTACATTACAATAACAAAACAAGTTTACCACTTACCATGAAGAAAATGCCAATGAAGAAACTAAGGCCAATAATCACCATGACATATAAATAAAACCAAGGTAAAGGATCAATATAGTAATACCACAGTGTTATAATTGCGGTGTTTTCAATAAATGTAATGATAAAATATATTACGTATCGATATCTCGTTTGTGAATCAATTGGATTATAATAACAAAAAATGAAAACTATACCCAATATTGCATTGTACATTATTTCTTGAAATCTATAGAAAAAAAATTTTTATATACTTGTTAATATATTTTAATATCAAAATAGTACAGGCACTCCTCTACTTACAAATAGGTTAGGTTCCCGAGATTTTGTCATAAGTTGAAAACTAACCTACAAAGTACATTTGTACACAGAATAACCGCTTACTGTTAGTGTCTGATCCTTCGGTGTAAATCGCGTTGAACTTTCCGCCATTAAAACACCACGTGATTGTATTTTCTCACGTGACTACCAGCCGAACTGTTATTGGCTGATAGAAATGCATCTTAGCGGCAGTCGCCACAAAAGATAGAATTCGGCCAACTTTTGCGGCACGAGAAAAGCGGCACAAAATCAACTTCTGCAGTGAGAAAAAGTGACGTCATTCAGCCACTTTTCCTTGCCGCACCGTATGTGTTCATCCAGCTTTATATCAGGCAGTATTTTCCCATCCCAATGTATTATAAGTAGATAAGTNAAAACTAACCTACAAAGTACATTTGTACACAGAATAACCGCTTACTGTTAGTGTCTGATCCTTCAGTGTACTTAATAGAATCCATTGTTTAGTTTCAGTGGTAATAGAGCCACATGTCTTACATTAATCTCCACAACTAAATTAGCTATTATGTTTTGGACACATTTTTAAAGCAATCATAAAGTTTATAAAAATCTCAAACAATAACAAAAAATGCCATTACTCCAACGTTACCAACTTTGATGCCACCCCACAAGTGGCAAGAGAACATTGGAATCTGTGCAAAATTTAAATTTTAGAAATAAGGTCAAATTGCTTGTAAATTGAACATTTGAAAGTAGGGGAGCTCCTGTATTTAGAATTATTTAATTATTGAATAAAAATCTAATTAATTATAATTAATTAAATTAAGTAACATATGATAATTTATAGTTTACTAATTCAAAAAATATATTTTATAGAATAACTAAAGATGTACAAATGTTAGAACTATGCAGTAATTAATTATGAGACTGAATCAGAAACTCCATTGTTAAACTTGAAATAGAAACAACTACAAAATCATTAATAAACACTGCCCAAAAAACCAAGATCCAACTAGCAGAACAATGTCCGTTAAATACAAGTGAAAATGTTTGATCTTTCTCAGTTATTTGTACAGTGTTTATTAACATATGTCCAATTTTAGGTAGTCAAATCTACAGTTATTTAAAGGAGTCGATTTTTTAATGAGATGAAGTACATTTTGTGATCATTCCCATCATCACATCCAAAAGTTTAACTATTTTACAATCAAACAGAACAGATGTAAAAATCTGTTCTGTTTGATTTTATTTTGTGCTTTTATCTGTAAAAATACAAAATTTATATACTGGAAAAATTTATTATTTAAAATACATAAACTTTTAAAAATATTAAAACAAATGTTTACACAGAACCAAGCCAAAACAATTCATTAAAAAGTGTGTTGTAAAAACAAATATTTCACTTAAATCTTTAAATGAGGTAAGTGCTTAAAAGTTTGTTTTTTTTATCTTACATGAAACTGACTTTTAATTAGATTATAAATCATTTTAAACATTAAGTTTCTGATAACAGCTAAATGAAATACCATTTCTTATACTTCACTGAACTGTTTGTTATATATAACAAGGGTGACCAAACTTTGTCATGACAGGAGCCATAAACTGCCTGTCGAATACAAATGAGAGCCCCATCATCTATGTTTAATATTTTAACAATATATAATATAGTTATCACTGTTCTATAGTAAATATCATTCTACCGTTACTTTATGCCCGACTGACTAGGTAAACAATCATTTAACTCCAACTATAGGAATATACCCTAAGTTTTCAGTTGCCTGTTCAAGGTTAAGTTGTGAGTTACACTTACAATCTCTGCATATATTACACTACATAATAGAAGAGTTAAAAAAATATTATATATGTGTAAGTAGCATGTATCAAGTTTATAAAAAGAAATTGTATGAGTATATGGGAGTCATAATAAAGCTCTAGAAGAGTCACATGTGGCTTGTGAACCATAGTTTTGCCACCATTGGTATATAATATCAGAAAATTTTCATTGCTATACTTTATTAAGTACCACAAAAAATAATTTGTTTATTTTTGATACTGAAGCATCATTGTTATTTTACTATTTTAGACCATTTTATATAAGAAAACATTTTATATTCTAAAAATTAAATTAAATCACCTACTTGTTTTCATAAAATGATGTTTTCATTGAAATAATCCAGCATGTCATCATCAACCAATGACAAAAACATCCAATACCAAGAATTACAGGAGATAATGTTGCCAATAAACTAAGACTAAACACTCTTGCAGAAATTGTAAAAAAATGCCACAGTAATTGAACAATTGTTCCTTTCCACAAAATATTTTGTTTTCGAGGTAGACAGAAACGTGAAAAACGATGATAAGAAGCCAAAGCCCAGGGAAGAGAAATCAGAGATGTCAAAATTGAAAAGCCTTCAGTCTTCACTATAAAAATAAAGTAAAATTTTATAATATATGACTAAAATTTAATAAGATTCTTATTACTTTTAATAATTTATCTGATAAATATTCTATATTCATTATTAATTAATACTTTTGTTTTAATTGTGCCGAGTTAATATTAAATCACAAAAAATTAATAATTGGTATTATACAGTTGCACACAAATGAAAAATGTCCTTAATATAAATAATTAAATGTATTATAAGAATAAAATATAATTTGTTAAATAAAACATAAATTATATTAATAGGCCTTCATTTGTGTTAGATACTAAATGGAATCCAAATCAACTGATTATCTTAAAGCAGATCAATTTTAATTATACATTTTCTATACTGTCAAAACAATTAGGGGAGCATATGACTGTTCTCATTGAGGAGTAGCAAAGAATTCCCAAAAACTTCATTGACAACCTCATTGATTCTATGCCACACAGATATGCAGCAATTTTGACCATTTACAGAAAACATAAATCAGGGTTGACAAATTTATGATATGCATGCCCAATGTAGCACGTCAAGAGAAATCATCCGGTACGTAAAGTATCATACAATTTTGGTTTATCGCCTATCTTTTTCAATCATCCTTTTGGTTTATCACCTGATCATCCTTTTTTCAATCTGCTTCTTTACATTTATTCTCATTAAAGTATATTCATAGCATTCAAAATGAGGCATTTTGAATGCTATCTTCTGCTACTGACATTTGCTTAAGGAAAGAAAAAAAGCCACATATGAAACTACATGACTTTATCGCAAAAAACAAGAATTTCAGAAGAGCCAAAACCTTCATCACAAATAATAAACTTTACACTTCTGTGTACATATGTTTATGAGTTATTTACATATTTTTATATTAATTTGCATAATAATATAACTTAAAATTAAAGTAAAAACTGTTTATTTTTGGTCACATGTTCCCCTTTCCTGAATATGTACTCTATGTTAAAATGACCTTGTATAACTCTGTTTTGTTTAACAATTTGTCATCTAGGAACACATCCCCTGCATTAAGCGGGGTCTTACTGTACTATTAAATTAAATGTATTCAACTGTTAAATTAAAAACTGTTTTAAATGAATTTTTAGAATTAGGTAATATTAATTGAAAAAATCTTTAATAAGAATAAATTTAAAGTGAATGTAATTTGTTAAATGTAAAAATTTAAGAGAACACTAACTAACTTACCTGAATTTATCCCTCAAGATGATCAAATTATTATCTTAAATAAGAAATATACAGAGTGATCCTAAAGACCACGAGCACTTTTATAGTTCAATAACTAAAGATGTACAAATGTTGAAACTATGTAGTAAATAATGATGAGAATCAGACGATTCCATGGTTAAACTTGAAACAGAAATAACTATAAAATCATTTAAAGGAGAAGTCAACTTTTTAATGAAATACATAATTTAAAAAGTGCTTTATCCAAATGTTTAAGTTTTTCACACCAGAATAGATCAGCTGTTTAAGTTTGAATACAGATGGTTATATTACTTTCAAGTTCAAACAAGAAAAGTTTCTTTAAAATAAAATGTTAAATTTCAAACTTTAAACAAACTTTCTTGTTCAAATATGAAAGCAATATAATTCTATTCTAGTGTGAAAAACTTAAACATTTGGACATGATGATGGGACAAAATAATCCCAAAAAGTGCTTTGTTTCATTGAAAAGTTAATGCCTTTAAATGATTTTATAGTTATTTACATTTCAAGCAGTAAATAATATATGAGAGCCTAACCTGCAATAACTATGCAGTAAGTTTCTTACTTGTTATAGTTTATTGCAAGTTCTTCAGTGAATAGTTTTAACATTTGTACATCTTTAGTTATTGAAATATAAAAATTGTACATGACTTTAGGATCATCTGTACATTAGTATAGATCAGTGTTTCTCAATGGGGGCGATATCGCCTCATGTGGGCGTTTTTTCATGTTGAGGGGGCAATTAGTAACAATTTATATTTTGGGGGGAGAAAAACAATTTTCTGGGCGATATAATAAAACATTATATTAAGAATAATTAGATATTTTATTCGTTACATCGTGCAATAATTAAACAAATAACATTATACTAGTCAGTAGTCTATTCAATGCAGTAAGAATTTGGCGTTAGCCTTGTCCCTTGGCATTGGAATTTTGTAGTGAAGGGGGCGATACTACGTAACGGTTTTATTGAAGGGGCGACGATTCGTTAGACGTTGAGAAACACTGGTATAGATAATCAACCAAACATACAAAGTTAGATTTCTATTACTTGTAACAATTAAAATACATGCACTTATAAGTTACTTGCAAAATTTATAATTTTCTCTGTATTTTAAATCATTAGCAAAGCTCCAATAATAATTGAAGTCTTTAACAAATGAAAATATTTTCTCTAATTTTATTTAGAGAAAAACATTAAAATATTTAATGTTTTTGATTTTTTGGAAGAATATCTTAAAGTTATAATATAGAAATAAATAATTAAATATCTTAAAATACAAAATATAATAATTCAAACTGTAAAGATTTACCAGTCAAAATATAATTTGGGTCATCTAGTGAATTTTTAACAATTATATAAGTTTGCAATATTACTTGAGGTGCAGCTTCCATAAAAGCTTCAAGTAGTCTTAGAAAAGCGGCGTCGCATCCTTCGTGTTGCATTCTACTATGATAAAATTCTTTATCTTTATTTCTCCGGCATTTTAAACCATATATTAGAGAATCTATGTATCTGTAATAGAAAAAGGTTGTATTTAAGTGATAAATATTAATAAATTAATATAATAAACAAAACATTAATTGTGAGAATTTTATAATCAACTAAAAATACATTAATAGATTATTAGTGTAAATATGAGTGAATAAATTTGTATTGATGATGGCCAGATGGCCGAGAGGTTAGAGTAGCAGCCCACCACTCTTGGGATCTGAGATGGAATCTGAACGGGTTTAAAAATCTCTAGAATTTTTCAGGTGGTGGTCTATCTGGATATGCTGGATATGTTCCATCTCTCACCATTGTGGGCTGGCCAAATCCCATAATGGGTTTGCTAAGAAAAAAGACTTCTAGTGCACACATGGTAGAAACAGTTGTTAAAAATTTGTAACTGCAATATACTTGCCACAACTTTATTACCTCTATAAGAAAGGACTAATTTAAAAAATTGTTTTTGGATATGGTTCCAATATTTTTCCTTTTGAATTTTTGTCAATTTTTAGAAGTTTTCAGTGCTAACAACATAAATATCACTTGATTCTATTAGATAAGCCAAATGAACTGCCAAATTATTTATCGAACTTGTAGGAAAGCCAATTTAATGATTATAAATAATGATAAATGAAAGAAATCATTAAATTAGCTTTATTACAATCCAACTATAATGTACACGGCAAGTTTGGAAGAATGTATTTCACAAAGAATTGCTCATTTTGGTGTGGTTTCTAGCTGTGGTAGTACATGCCTACAGATGTAGCAAGCCATTAATGATATCTGGTAAAGACAATCTTGCCAAAATACAATAATATTCTATGAAAATAACATGTGATTTCAATAATTATTGACAGGCTGTATTAATTTGCATCTTTTCCAGGCAATATTAATATTAATAGATATTTATGTTGCACATATAAACAATAAATCCATAAACCCAATTTTAAGCAATTCCAAACAATCCATTGCAGTTTATACTCCATAATTATGGTGTTACATAAAGAAATAAGTAAGCAATAGCATAAGTTAAAAATAACTTATTTTTATTTTAACCAATATTATGGAATATTGTCGCCAAAAGTATTTTGCTTACTAAACAAAATTAAAGTTACCAATGGATTAATAATGAAGATAAATGAATTTGTTTGACATGTGATCATACACTGATCCATATATAAATATTGAAACAGATATCCTAAAAGAAATCCCAAAATTACTTTGATAATTTTCTTGCTAGATCTGAAAAATAAATTGTATACAATCTTTAGTATAGACCTACTGGTATAAAAATTGGTAAAAATGTAGCTCCGAATGAAGTGATTGGGACCTTATTAGAGGTGTACACCACATCCACAGGAGTAAAAAAGTCAAAGAAAGCAATTGTTTATATGTGACCCTTCACGAGGTACAGCACCCTGATACCGCTTTATCTGGAATTTCGAAGACCCTCAAAAACGGGGTAAAATTTTAAAATGAAAAAATCTAAAACTATTTCTCAAAACAATGCTAAAAATCAACTATTTTTCACTTTACTAGATGTGGCAAAAAGTTCATAAAACACAAAGAAAAGCCATTACGCCGACTACTTCCAGGGTGTGATCAGAGTCATGCCGCACGTTCCACTAAGCCTATCGTGTATTTAACAAATACTTAAGTCAAGATATTCCCTCTCTCCAAGGGTTGCAATTAGAGATACGGTTCCTTTGACTTTTTTGCTCCTACGGGTACGCTCTACGGCTCCGTTAAGGTCCCAACCGTCTCGTTCGGAGCTCGAATCGAGCCCAAAAGAATTCTTCATTTATATAAAAGTAAGAAATAAATTATCACAATTTAATTACCAAACTTTTATTTCTATTCAGTTAAAGACCTTTAACATAAATTTACCTGAGAAGCGGTCCCAGCTGGAGCACATGTAGAACAATTCGAATGTACCGTCTTAAACGGGAAGGAGAATTATTACTTTTTTTCAACATCTCCACATCTTGCTTATACATCCAAATACTAAAAAACGTCATGGTTAAGGCAGGCACGACAATAAAAACCACTGTCAGAATAAAATATTTGATATCACCCTTAGTATAATGCCTATAAGCTACAACACAATCCATTCCTGTATCAAACAGAAAGGTTCCAATAGACCATAAACCCCCAAAAATTTCGAATACGGTAAACTGAAACTTTTGCTCATTGGATTTAAGTTCTTTCGCGTCTTCGGGTTCCATCTGCGATTGTTCGGTAACACAGACATTTCGCGGGCTTTCTTTAGGGTGCATCTTGTTACACGAAAACAAAATGAAAGTAATCGGTAAATTAACGAGAACGAATCTGACTGTCTTCCAATTGCTGTGATTCACATGTGCTTCTCTCGTGAACTTTCGCGAACATCCTTCCCTGTTAAGACGTCACTTCCTCCTTCGTCCTTCAGTTTTCTGTTGACGCGAATGTTAAGGTCTACACTTCGAGTGATGGAAGCATCGCTCGATATTTAATTTTGTTTAATTTATTATTAAATAAACGTCTATAAAAATTCTGGTGAAAACAATTCATTTACAAAAATTCTCTTCAAAATAGCCGCCGCCGAAGTCATTTAACAGAATTTATAATAAAATCAATTGTTTTTCTATAATGCTATTTCCAATCTTTTATTCTTGGCCTTTATCACATTTTTGAAATTTGGCAATTTACTGGTTTTTTTTAATTTTCTTTAAAAAGAGCACTCACCCCCTTGCCCCTACGAGCGTTTTAATGACCCAAGAATTCCGTCAATTGCGCACACTCCACAAATACTGGAAGTCGAGGTCATTTAAACGTTCGTCTTGTCCCGCCCTGATTGAACTAACTAAAAACAAAATAATTTAAACTTGCTTCTGTTATACTTATAAAAATTACAGAAATCTAGAACGAGTTCCGCAACTTGAGCAACCAACCTCCTTCCTCAATGGATATCCTTTCTCTCTTCCTTCATCCTTGATGTTTTCTTTTTGTCGTATACGTGCCTTAGGAAGAGGATATATATACATATCCTTATCCTTACATATAATGATATAAACATAGCATCAGCTAATTGTTTGTTTACATATAGTTTTCATAGCGTAATTATAACACTATACTGTATCACATCTTCACTGGTATTTATTGTCTTATTCGTTGTAAGCAAAAATCGCAGCAAATACTTTTATAAAAGATAGCTATGGGATCATTCGAGTATTACATCAGCAATTTATGTAAAAGCGGAATTTGTATCTGACGATTGCTGACGATGGAGACAACATCGGCAATGGAGGATGAATGGAGGCGAGTCTTTGATGATCTAAGCAGGCACCCATCATTTATTTTTCTCCCTATTTCATCATAAAATTCTCCGAAAATAATTTCTGTATATTTACGAATGATTTTAAACTTCTGGTTTGATACATCATTATAGGGAGTACCTTCATTTCTGATGACACGGTGATGATGGGGCAGACGACAGCGCTCGAAGACTATAAAAAGGGGGCACAATCTGTAAAAAAGGGTATCGTACATTATACTACAAACTTCGAGCTCTATATGATTCAACGTCGGATCGGCGCTCCCACAAATAGCAATCAAAGTTAACTTGGCCTTGACGAAAACAAGGAATGTGGTTTTCGTCAACGTACGCAGAATAAATAACTAGGCTACTGTATATAAAATATATAGGAGCGTCTACTGTATTTATTTTCAACGAAAGGAACTTGACTTTGCTTAAAAAGTAATAAAAACAATCACTCCTAATAATAATATAATCAAGAATCTAAAAAAGTAAAAACAAAAATATATAAATAAATGTTTTCGCAATGGTCGGGTCAAGAAACAATTAACAAAGGGTAAACGAAGGAAAATTATACATTCTTTTTGAAATACATCAAATAGGCGCAAAGGGTGTCGCGGGACTGCCTCCGCCACACTTTCCGGTCCCCCGATTTGTCACCGACCATTCGGAACGCCAAGTTGAACAGCCCGGGAGTTCGGCCGAGATGCCGCGGGACACCGTACGGCCCCGTGCCTGCCCGTATCGCATCGCGTATTGGCGCTAGAGGTGGCTCAACAGGGTACTACAACCTCCTTTCGTTTTTAGTTTTTCCTGCAATAAACGATTCTTTTGCATTCATTTTGTAATCACTTATATCTCCGTTATACTCAAACCTGTACAATTTCGTTCGATTCCCACAACTTCTTGGTGTATTTATTTGTCTGGAGCACTTTACTCTTATCATATAAATAAATTAATTTTTTCTTGGCAACAACAATTTATTTTTTCGTTTAGGTTTATTTGGTTATGGCAACTAGATACGTGGGCCATCTGCCGAGGGGGATGCTTCCCGGGAAGAACTTTCTATGGAAAACTGGCTCCTATTTAAGTGTTACAAACGTGAAGGAAACCCGGAAAAATCCGCGGCTAACACGATAGAGAAACGCGAACCCAGAATCCACCCACGATTAACTACGGTGTTCGATGGTTTTATTCGCTCGGGCACTAGTGGGCCTTCTCTTTCGTATCAATAACATACAGTAATACCCCGAACTTACGCGATAGGTGGGACCGAGCGATAACCGCGTAAGTCGGGGTATAATTCCTCAATGTGTGTAAAATCCAAGTCGGATGTATGTAAGCTAATAAATGTTCTCGTTAATCTTATCTCGTCTTTTGATTCGTTCATTGTTACAAGAAATCACCACATAGAGTTTCTCGACTCTCCGTAGATATAACAAACACAGAAATAAATAACACAAAATAAATTGTAGCTATGTGTCAATTCCGCGCGACACGTCCGAACATGTAAGTTGAATAATAGTGTGGAGGGAATGAGTAATCAAGAGTTGCGTGGTGCTCAAACAAAAGACGAATCGACGAGATTTGAAAATCGCGTAACTCCAGGTTCGCGTAAGTCGGGGTAGCGTAAGTCGAGGTATCATTGTATTATAGGAATGTAGGCCTATACAGTACCTATTTTTGTGACTGGCTGTATATATAATTAACTTTACATAGTAAATTTATTTATTATTAATCTGTTTTTTTACCATTTTATTTTTCATTTTCGTCTGTAATAACTTAGGTCATTTTTATAGTGTTGATTAATTTTTAAAACATATTTAAAAACTTTTAAGTTGGCCTTTAATTATATATTAAAGTGTAAAAAAAAGGTTAAAGTAATTTATTAATTAGATATTGCAGAATACAAATGAAATAAATGTGAAATAGCCGACTAGGGGATCATTAATCCTTTGTCAGGGACGGCAAAGGGGCCTTTAGCGTGTGGGTTGGTGGTCTCGAAGGAAAGATGACAAGTATCTTTACATACAACCCGTTTATTGAGAATTAAGAATATGCTTACATTAGTCAAATGAACAGGTTGTTCCTAATGTTTCGTCGGTCGTAGTAAGGTTCGTTACTAGTGCCTTTCGCTTAATCGACCGAGGTTGTGCAGCCAGTCGATGAGATAGTAGCGGTGACAATCGATGGTTTGGAACTGCGAGGACAGTTGATGACAGCCTAGGCTAGTGGAGGTCTTAAGTAAAGAAGTTGAAGTTGGGACGATCCCAATTATACGACGACACGGAGTGCTTAGTCGTTTCACACAATTAGAAAAAGCTCCTCTCGACCTCGAGTTTCGGGATTTTTATAAAATTTCTTCTCCGAGTCTTCTTTTCGATTGATTTAAGTTCCCTTATCTCGCTACCCGATTGGTCTCTCTTCTGTCTCCAGGTGACAACCGAGATCAGTTTGGGTCACGACAAAAGTCTACTTTGGATCGTCTATTCGACACCATCCTTCTCCTCTGACCGGTATTATTGATGGAAATAAGACACCTGCGCTCACATTTTAATCCGTTATTTCCTTTCTATGACGGTTAAAACGTCAATAAATTTTTCCACTTTTTTTTTATTTTCCTTTGTCAAATCTCCTTTCCCGATCAAGTTCACTTCCAATTATTTGTATATGAGCGTTGGTGTGAAAGTTCGGCGTCGCCGACTCAACGGATGTTAACTTAACACCCTTCGGAATCGTGTTCGGAACTCGTTTATCTTCGCACCGCGCTCATTATTACACAATTTGTATAATTTTCACAGGTTCGAACTCGATTTGGGCCCTCACATAAATAAGGATTACGTTAATTTTTTGTTTTTATTTATCAAGTTAAAAATTAGTTAATTTAAAAGATATTATAAACAAAGAACAAATATGAAAACAAGAATTAAACGTTCCCATTCGTTTGCACTTTGTACTGTATTAGGTTTCATTTGACAATGATCTTTTAATAACGCATGCATTTATTACGTTAACATTAACATTATGTTAGAAAATGATATTGAAGCGATAGTGTCGAATAGCGAATATCGACACTCTGCGTGAACCCTTGTGTATCCAACTTCAAAAAAATTTTGGTTTGACAAGTGAGGTGTCTGCACTACCACGGGACCGTCTATTAATTACGAATAGTTTAAAGAAGGGTCGAAAAAAGTATATAAACGTGTACGATGGGTGGTACTAGTGCGAATTTGTTCCTATAAGCCTAATTCTTAGCCATGTGAATACACTCAGAATTTTTTTGTCATTTCTTCAATATAATGGCGTCCATAATCTATTCTGCGCATAAAAGTGAGGGAAATGACAAAAGTGGCTCAGAAACACACGATAGAATGACCACATAAATGAAAACTGGCATTCATCTTTAATCAGCCTGCGTTGTGCTCAGCAATCTCAGAATGTCTAGCTACACATAAAACTCAATAAGATACTTTATTTCCACTTTAAAAAAATTCTCTTCCCAGCCATGACATAAGCTCGAATGCACTTTTTGTCTCCAACTGAAAAAATTGGGCCACCTTGCTTTGTGCTTAATTTACAAAATGTAAATTAATTATGTAAATGCCATTGACTAAATTAGTGAGTTTATTGTGATTTAGGTACTGTATTACCTTCATTTTACAAAACAGAAAAAAATTTTATCACTCATACAGATAAATAATATATTATTTTGACCCATCCCTATAAATTTTCATTCATATAGTGTACTTCAATTTACATGAAGTATCAAGACAAAAGTTGTTTATTAAGATAATCTGCAATTTTTATTAGTTTAAATCAAACTCAAAGATCACACTCCTAGCTCTCAATTGTTTTTTCTTAAAATGGACTTCACACTGCATTTATTTACAACTCATATAGCTTACATACTAATTATAATATTCAAATATAGCTTATTTATACAAATTTTTACATGCTTTTAACCACCTAACTGCAAAGCTTATGCAGAGTGAATGTTATTTACTATATCTTACAAGACCAGTCTCAATTACATGGTCACTTACGTAGGGAATGCCCACAATACACATATTATCATCGTCCGTTTCGACTTTGTCTATACTTTAACATTTATTTCTTTTCCTCCAGGTAATATTCTCAATAGTTCTTGAATTATTTCACTATGCCATTGTTGAGAGTCAATTCTTGATAGCATACACTACACAGCTTGAAATAGAGAGTCATAAACTTTGAAATTACCTGTTTTATTTATTCTAAAGTAATTATTTTGGTGTTTCCACGATCTACAAAATACGGGTAACCCCCGCATAACACGGCACTTCTATAGCATGGATTCACTCTAACACGGTTCGAGAATTGGTACCATCCCCCGTATAACATGGTACTTTTATAGCACGGATTCACTCTGACACGGTTCGAGAATTGGGTAAAACCCTCGTACAACAGGAAATGTAATAAATTTTTACATACTTAAGTAATAATAGTTCACGAAAATTATTATTTTCGTGAACTATTAGTACTTAAGTATGTAAATTTTCTCTTCTCGCCTTCTGTCGATACACGTGGTCCTTCTCGAAACTTGTTTCAATGTTGCCAGATCGCGACGCTTCTGCTTCTGATGTTGCCGAATGTTTTTCCCTTATTCCATACTTGCTTTATTCTTCATAAGTGCTTAGCACCATATAAGGAAATTTATAAAGACCTTTTAACTAGAAGCAAGCAATCTAAAATTACATACATTTTGCAAAAGGTAAAGCATGGATCTGAAGATAATGCAGAAAAATGCTCAGAGGATAAGGATAACTTGCCAAAAAGAAAACGCTCTCGGTTAATTAATAGTGTTTTTAGTGATGACGAAGAAAACATTGTTTAATTTATATTAATATGTATCACTTAAAAAATTTTAATGAAGATATTTATCTTAATTATGAAAATATACTAGGATGTTTTTTAATTTTTGGAACCTAACCCTCCTTTTCGTATTAGTTCTTTGTTTCGTATAACACGGATTCACATAACACAGCAATTTTTTGGAATGTAACTACCGTGTTATACGGGGGTTACCTGTACAAAGTTTACCATCGAGAAGTTTGAGAGAAATTGCCCCTACCATAAACTGTCTCTCGAATATCTGATTAAACATACTTCTCCATACTGAGGATGATAATTAAGTTTCTGATCCATACAATATTCTGATATAGCAGTATTTGAAATCCACTGATTCAGAAATATGAGTACAGTCAGCAGGTTGACAAAATATCACTCTGGATGGACAATACAAGTAACCATTACATCCTTCTCACCAACTAGAAATTGTACATATTTACAATCATTATAAGAATATTTTTAGTTACATTTTTATCATCATCATTTCTAATGAGTTTATCATTAATTTTTTCATTTTCACTTGATATTAATTTTTCAAAAATTCATTTAAAGAAATACCTTCTGAATTTAGTAATTTCACAATATGGTTTTCAGCATCAATTACCTTCAATGTCCATATTTCTTTTTTAAGACGACATTGAACATTAAATGTTGGTAATATTGATGGAAGGCCTTCAATTGCCACTTCTACACAATAAGTAAAATTTTTAAAGAACTGTTCAGGAATTGGTCTCAAATATTTACATTCAATTTCATCATCATTTCCAAAATCCACAAAATGTACAAGGAAAGTTGTTAAAGATGTAGAACTTACTACCAGACCTCTATACCACAAACCATCATCTTTGAACATTGCACATACTACTTCATTAATTTTAGGCACATAGGATGTAATTGAATTATTTTCACAAAAATAAGAAATTTCACTTAGTAAGTTGGCAATTTCCATTTCAAGGTGAACTGGTTGAACAAATAACTTGCATAAATTTACTATTGAGCAAATTTGAACTTTGCAGTTATCAATATCAGATAACAGCAATTTTTTCATATCTTCATACATGCTACAAATTTTAATATCTGTCAAATCTTCTGCTGGTTTTGCTATTGATTGAATACTTTTCTGATAATGATTAACTGAAGTCAATTGTGAAGGCACAAGATCATGATGCCAAGGAAATGCTATAACATTACATAAAAATTTATTTTCTCCATCTAAAAGAGTAATATGTATTTTGTTTGGATCTACATATTTTACTTTGCCAAGTAAAGATTTACAAATGACTAGCATCTCCTTTATCTTATCTTTATCAATATATTCAGCAGAATCTTCTATTGTACAATATACCAAAGGTGAAATAACTTTTAATAAATTTAAAGGCAGAATTTTAAATAGTATAATTTCTTCTTCATTACCATAATCAATGTATCTAACTCTGAAATTGCCATTTTGTTCATTTAAAATATATGCACGATACCATTTTCCATCAGTTACAGACTGTGCAGCAATTACATCTCCAAATTGAGGTTTAATATTTTTGTCAATAGTAAGTTCTTCAATAGATTTTCTCATTTCAACCAGAGCCTGAACTATATTTTGATTAGAATTAATTGCTCGAAATTCTAATTTATCTGGAGATGCATGAATAATAGTAAGACAAATCTCGTCTTCTTTATGCAACATTTCCACAATAGATGGTACAGTTTCTCTGGGCATATTATCAATCTTTACTTTATTGACTGTAGTAACAGTTAAATTTTCATGTATCTTTTGGACCAAACTGTTTTCATATCTTTCAGCTGAAATAATACTTTCAGACAAAGATTTATTTTCATTCCTAATTTCTTCATCTTTTGCAGAATTTTCACTATTTGTATCACTTATAACTTTATATCTGTTCTCATCTAAACTTTCATCATTTATATATACATTTTCTTGTTGCATGTTTTCACTTTGGGCTGAATCACTTAAATGGTCAGGTATTTCAAATAGACCATAATTCCAAGAATATGCAATTACTTGACAAATAAATTCATTACCTTCAAAATCCATTATATCTAAATAATACTTGTCTCTTATGCACGCTCTCACTTCAGCTTTCATCATGTTGCCTGGTAAAATTAAATCACGTAAAGGTTTTTGCAAATCGTCAGAAATACTACCTATTTTTGAGCAAATCGCAGGTGACGGAAATGAACAATATTTTTTCCTTAAAGGATGAACAGTTTTTACAATTTCTTCTTTGCCATAATCTACATAATAAATCAGATAACTTTCTTTAAATGTTTTCTTAATACAAGCTCTGTACCAAGTATTGTCCACTAGTGAAAATGCAGCTACTAAATCTCCTAATTTATATTTATTGAAACACTGATCTATGCAAGAATATTCATCACTTAGACATTTCTCCAAATTTAAAATTTCCTCAACTACAGGTACTTCTCCAATCATTGCTGAAAACATATCACCACCACACATTGTTATTAGCAAATAGATGTCACATCCAACTTGCAGTGTTTTTATCACTGAAGATATAGAACTATAATCATATATTTCATAATCATATATTTCCTCTCTATGTAATTCCTTATGTATTCCTAAATTTTCCAATGATGATATCATTGTTTGATCTAAATAATCTATTTTTATATTATGATACCATGGATATCCTACAAGAGTCACAGAAAAGTCTTCTGAATGTTTATATTTCATATGAATTTTATCTTCTTGACATGATATAACTGTAACAGAAAACACTTCACTTTCAATGCATTCTTTTAACCGTAATTCATTTTCATGTGATAATTTCTCTTCTATTAAACAATGGATCGAATAGGAAGGCAACAAAACTTCTTCTGGAAATATAGATGAAATTTCCGTTACAGTTTCTTCATTGCCATAATCTATGAAGCGAGCATTAAAGCCATTATCACTTTTTCCAGTTATATAGGCTCGATACCAGGAACCATCAGAAAACTGAGCAAAAACAATTCTCCCTTCTTTTTCAAAATCATATTTTTCAAGGATTTGTGGCTCTTTGTTCCTGTTGTTGATCTTTTCTACAGTCTCAGTTGCTGCAGGAATCATTGGCATTATCCAAAAATCTGTATTAGTTTGACGATACAGAACATAAACTTCCAGTTCCATTCCAGGTTCTAAACTTCTAATTGATCCTAATGGAACACGTTGGAAATCTTTATTTTCCAATTGAATTTTTTTTTCAGATTTTATAGCTTCCATTTTCTGAAAATTAAAACAATCATCTAGTTTTTTATTACTAGTTAAATTTTCCTCAATATCACTTTTTTGTAAACTATCTCTTATTTCATTTGTTTCAAAAGAACTACCTGCTACCATTTTTTTACTTTCACTTTTTTGTGGTCTTGAAATATCTTCATATTGCTCATATCTGTAATTATCATCCCAATTACAGTTTTCTTTATTTTTTTGTAAAGATATTTTCTTTCTACTGCCACAAAACTTACTATTCCCTTTGTCTTGTTTATTTTGCACTTGTAATTCAATCTTTTTATTATTTTCACTTATGATAATTTCATTTTTAATCTGATTTTCAGCTATATTTTTACATGTCTGAGTACTACTTTGATTAATATTTTCACTCTTTTGTTTCAGTATAGTTACATTATCATCAGTAATTTTTTCAGTATGAAGTTTTTTTTCAAATGAATCTTTATGAAGTGATTTGTGTTTCAAATAATGACCTTCATTATTATTTTTTGATTTACAATTTAAATTAAGATTCTCCTGTTTAATACAACTTTGATTTCCATTTCTAGAGGCTTTTATCTCTGCAGAACTCATCATATTATTTTGATAATGAGATATTTCTTTAGTAGAATGATATTTAGATATATTATTGCTTTCTAACTTCCAGATGTCATTTGTTCCTTGATTAACAGTATATTCTTCTTGTTTTAAAGAATTATGATTAGCTGATTGAAGAGACTGATAAGGACAACTGTTATCACAACTTTGATTATATACATTAGATGTATGATTAATACATTCTAAGGACATCTTATTTTCTTTATTAACAGACGATGAACATTCAGATAATTTATTATTTTTTTCATGTGGAGTTTGAACTTGTTTACTGTCTGTTTTAGATAATGCTGAAAATCCATCACCTTCTTCACATGAAGCTGGAAATCCATTACCTCCTCCAACCGGTGTTTGAAATCCTTTACCTCGTCCAAACGGAACTGAAAATCTATCATCTCCACACAAAGCCGGAAATCCGCGACCTCTTCCGAGTGGCGTTTGAAATCCTTTACCTCGTCCAAGTGGAAGCAAAAATCCATTATCTTGTCCAAGTGACGATAACAACTGATTATGTGTAGACGAAACTGAGAATTTGATGCCTCTTCCTGATGATGTCAAAGATCCTCTACTTTGCCCACAAGAAGTTGGAAGTAATCTACCATCTTTTCCACATGTTTCTCTTCTAAAGTCATTATTTTCTGTCTTTCTATTATTGTGAAATTCTTGCATTTTATACTTTTTATTATTTGATGCTTTGGGAGAAACAGAGTTACTTTCTTTCATATTATCTGGATTTTCATAGCGCACGACTACTTCCGAATTATTTTTATTTTTAGTAATTTTGAAATCCGGAAGATTTCGCAGACTACCATCCGTAGTATTTTTCAGGAAAATTTTTCCACATCCGACACCTTTAACTTTCAAGTCTTCGTTCACGACGGCTACGTCATCACCACTCCTCATAAGATTACTGTTTATTGACAAAGATTTTTCTAAATAATCATTCATTTCTTTTTCTTTAATAAGTTGTTGTTCCTGCCTTTCTTTAAAAGACTTGTAAAACGATACTCGAAGATTAAGAGGCGGTTTGCCATCTAATTCTCTTATAGCCATTTCCGCTTCCTTCAGCGTAGCATAGTCCACAAATCCATAAATAGTATTTGTTTCTGAATGTTTTGGATAACAAAGATAAGAGCGTAGTACTTTTCCATATTTCGAAAACAGGAGTTGTAAGCCTTTTTTATTAAGTTGTATAGGTATTTTACCCACATAGAGAGTAATAGTCCGAGAATGTCCTGAATTTTTCCACGATGGATGACGATCAATCGGTATCCCCTGACCTCTTCCTCTGTCATACGAATTAAAAGAAAGAGAATTATAATCTTCTTCCATCGGATTCCAATCGTTTAGCTCCATGTTAAACAATAATACACAGGAACGTTCACAGAAAATAAACCAAAACAAACGCACTCAATAATCAAAATATATAAAACTGACACTACATACTTCACCCAACACTCCTGTTCCAAAATAACGATAACTACGCCGCCTGGTGGCTAGTATGTACTTTTCTTTTTAATAATAACCAAAAACTTTATTTCAAAATAAATATATTTTTACTTTATCTAATAAAATTAAGGTTAATTATTATTTCTAAGTGATAAACCAACGCTTATTCGCGATAGTATTTTAGAAGCTATATAGCACAGCTTTCTCATGAGTGGACTCCGTCTCCACTTGTTAGTGGTGACCAGACCCTAAACACCGGAGTTCGATCGGGGGTTCGCGCCTCACTCGGACGAGCTGGCAGCGGGAGATTTTTCCGGGTTTTCCTCCTTGCCAATGACGCCTGAATAGGGGCCAGCTTTCCCTCCAAGTCCTCCCGGAAGGCATTCTGTCTCCCTTTCTTCTTCTTCTTCTTCGATGGTGTTTATATGGAGATTTTAGCTCAATGTAGGCTCTTTCTCTGAGTAGAATTGTGTATGTGTATGATCGCTAGGCGACCGATTAGCCGGCTGTATCGAACAGCCATACGTACGCGCGGGAAATAAATGCCTTCCGGGAGGACTTTTATGGGGAACTGGCCTCCTATTCAGTCGTTATAGGCAAGGAGAAAACCCGGAAAACTCCAAGCAGCCAGCCTGTCCGACCGTGGCGCGAACCCACGACGAACCTCCCAGTCTTTAGGGTCTGGTCACCACTACGCTCTGTCTCCCTTTCTCGCGAGGGTCGTCTCTTATAAGACCGGCTTTGGTTACTTAGTGACCTCTCTCCTGTCTTCCTCGGATTGGTCGTCTTCTATAAGACCGATTCTTCCTTACTGTTTCTTCTGGAGTAAAAAGCGCATAGCAATACTACTCCTCTATGAGATATGAGCTTTCTCATTCGATTTTTTTAAAAAGAGACACATTTGATAGAAATTAACAAAACATTGAATTTTCTGCCGCCGACCCAAATAAAAATCGCAGGACTATTTGTTGATTCTGCACCGTTCGAGTCGCCATTGCTTAAGCTTGTTTCCAAAGTCTATAAACATAAGGTCTAGACACGATATCGTGATGCTTCGCGGCAGTCGCCGTTTTGGATCATTTTGAGATTGTGTGTACGGTGCTTCTAGAGCGAAGCTGATTGTTTCTTTCGATCTTAATTAGTTGAATTTCTTGTTATATATACTGTATATATTAATACACTAGTTCCGGTCGTCGGTGCGGATGGTAAGAAGACGAGGACATTTTAGGTTTTGTTTTGAAAATTTAAAAATAGTTACCCTAATAATTAATGTTCGGTTAAGTCATTAGTGTCCGCAGACTCGAAAGAATTCGAAAGAAACTTGTACACACAGATGTAAACGATGACTCATGCAAATTTGAATGGCTTCAGGCCATTGAAATTTCATTTGTAAGTTTAAAGCTACAAGATACGTGCATCAATGCAAGAGACGCTGAAGGTTTTCCTTTTTAAAAAAAAAAATAAGACTCTCCGCCCTGTGGTTACTAAGAAGGTCTAAATTATGGGTTCTGCCAGGCCTACAATGGGGCGGGGGAATATTTCGACCCGTCTGGATTTGATCTCGGATCCCCAGAGAGGTAGGCTGCCATAATAAACTTTGAAAACCAGTTAAAATTTGAATGACCCTCTTTCAATGTTTGATTATTCACCGAATAAAGGATAATCCTGTTTAAAAATATTGATTTTAATTCAGATATCAAAGTCTGTATATTGTAATCAAATGCGATAAGCTTTCATCTAATGTTATTGTATTTTTTTATGATTGATGGATGTAGAACTGAGGTTATTTAGTAAAACTAAAAAAATCTTGCCGATGTGCTTATTGTGTTTTGAATTGGACCATGGAGTAATTCTAACGAGAAGCGCCTCTACTGGTTGAATTAATATCTTGAAATTAAAATAACGAATTACGCTACGATTAACACTTACTAATATTTTCTACGATCGGTAGATTAATTAAAAATTAAATGTAAGAAAATATTATTAAGTGTTTCGTTTATGAAATGTATTAATTAACGTGTAAACTTCGCGAAGAAAGTTGCCGTCACGTGACTATTGGACACAATTTAAGTTGCTCACTTCCCGTTTTTTTTTTTCTTTCGTTTAATCGTTTTGTAGAGTAGTTTAATGCAACCGCAATCCGTCCGAAAACTCAAAAAATGTCCCGTAAAACGAATTTTTTACATATTAATTCAAAAATAGCTTAAAAACGCGAAAGAAAAGATGGAATTCAAGGACCAACGTTTTAAAAGTAACTCGTCAAACGTAAGTTTAGAAAATGAAAGTGGAGATTTAGAAAAAGACACGTGCTCTGGGGCCACGGTACGAATAGAAGATATCGAAGACGATTCGGAGAAATCCACTTTCGATCGACTCGATCTGACTTTAATCATCATATGCATCTGTAGTTATATATTCGACACCTCCACCGATATTTACGTGGCCTATCGTCATTATTACGATGGAAACGAATGGTACTGCGGCCTAACTTCAGTTTTCATAATAATTCCATTATTGACAATGACTGGATTCAGCCTAAGATGGTATTTGCTGGATACTGAACTTCCTGGTGCTCCTCAAGTTTCTCAACTGAGATGGACGTTTCGAATTATTTTTCTCCTTTTACAGCTTGGACCTATTCTCAGGTTAGTTTACTTTAGTGAAAACTCAGTATTTTCTGTAAAAATAAATTTTCTATTTTTACATTTGGCAAAATCTTTAAATAGGTTTTACCTGCATAACTTCAAATTTAATGATTTTCTTTTACTTTCAGGGGGAAAAATCATTGGAAAGTATATTTTCAGTTTTTCAATAAATATTTTCTTACAAATGTTATTTTTTGTTTGACGGTTTTTCGTTGTATTCTCTTCTGTTGTGTGTGTGTCGAATAAGAATTTCGTACGATTCTGTTTTTATCGGTACGTCGTTTAAGTCTTATTCGAAATCATTTTGTTGAAAAGGTGAGCAATTAAATTGTTAATGAATATGTAAGACTGTGTAAATATAAATCTATATATATATATATAAAGTATTCATTCCTTCGGTGTAAAGTACAAAAAGTTTGCAAAATGGCTGGTTATATCACTAAACAGAAAATTTTAAGAAAAAATTTTAATTCGGATTTATTGTGTTCTGTTATTTGTACGATGTAAAATTTAACTAAAGTATTGCCAAAAATGAGTTTTTAGTCACGTAATTAAACTGCCTGTTCGTTGAGAGATGGAATAAATAATCTACTTTAGGAATAAAACATTACTCTTAAAAGTTTTTGTAATTATAATCTGGAATTATTTACTCTAAATTTGAAACTAGCTATAAATTAAGTAGGAAAATTGTATAAACCTTAATTTTTTGTAGCTAGGTTATTTGTATGTTAGTTTAAATTCAAAATTGTGTTTTTTTAATAAGAAATTAGCCATTCAAATCCATTTTTTAATATGACATTAATCACTATCAGTATTGTGATATTAAATGATCCATTACAGAGACAATGTGTGTGTTTATATTAACTTGGATCAGTGATTTTTGGTGTTCTGTGAACTACATTCAGAGAATAATTGTTTTAATTAGTTATTGTTTAAACAAAATAGTCTGAGTAATATTATCTTCTTATCAGGTTAGACTAATAGCATAAACAATGTACTGAACTGTTTAGGCTCTTGATTGGATAAATTGATTGGTCTGGTTTTTTTTTTGTATATTATAAAAAATCAGTCAATACATATAACTAGCATTCCAGCTATAACAATATTATTGGATGATTTATTAAATGATTATTCTTGTAGTCTAATTTTGTAGAAGCTATAGCATTACCACACAAATACCCTCTGTTTACTAACATATCTGTATACTCTAACTGGTCTGAAAATTAATATGACTTTAGCACTCTTGCCTACAAAGGCCTATGTACAGAATATACAACAATGAAAAAAGGTGAAAATTATAATATAATGATATTTGATAGTTTGTCCACACATATTAAAACATTATTTAAATGTATATTTCTAATGTGTAAGAAAATAACTAAGTTTTTTTTTCCAAATTTATGCACATATGTAAAATATTTCTTTTTATAACTTTAAATGTATTTTTTGGGCAAGATGTACTGATCATTCAAATTATACAAAATTTTAAATACAGCACTGTAAAACCAGTTTTTTTTTTCCTCATGAAAATTTTAATTTTTGATCATCAACATGCTTTCAAAAGTTGTACAAATTTTAATATGATTAAATAAAAACGACTCCATTTAATGTCTTATTGAAAATGTACGTTTAATAAATGATTAATCACATTGATAATGAAACATGTAGTTTAGAAAAGATGAATGAAATTTGAAAAATGTGTGGGATTTTTTAAGAAATTACCAAAAGAATCTTAAGAACTTCAAGCTTATACAAAGTCTAAAATTGAAGTAAATGAATATTTATAAAGTACAAAAATCTATGGTTATTAAGCAATCTAATCTAGTCTAGTGATATGCAAATAGACAGCCACAACCAGTGCCGTAACTAGGCAGGTGCAACAGGTGCACCCGCACAGGGCCCACTTGGAAGGGGGGCCGAAAATGCATGTATTTGTTTTATTTTCCCAAACCTAATTAATTATGGGGCCTAAATGCAAATTCTTGCACAGGGCACAAGAATGGCTAGTTACAGCACTGTCCACAACTGCTGTAAATAATCTGGTTATAATTTGGAAATAATGATTTTGAATTACAAAATAGTGGTATGTTTTGAGATAAAGTCGAGTCTAATTTGAAACTATTTGGGCTGTAATTTGAAAAATTGTAGTCCAAATAGTTTTGGACTGTCAGGAAACGAAATTGCAATTAGGCCTATTGTAGTCCATCCATCTGTCTTTCATTAATCTTGAGAACATAGTTAGATAGATGAAAGATGAGACCAGATATGGAAATCTTAGGGGCAGGAGGCCCCGATTAACTATACAGGAACTTCTGATGCAAACCAGAAGTTCATCATTTCAGTTCAAAAATTTTTTCCCAAAAGGTGTTAGACAGATGATCAGCACAACTCTCTTGTTAAAGAAAAAGTTTGATGTATGGGGGCAAGCCATTACTAATTTGAGGTGGAGAACATATATTTTAAATTAAATAAATTAAAAATATGGTTAAAAATTGCAGCTTGGCATTGTGATGATGTCACAATAAATAATTGCTCATGATGATAATAAGTGTTTACCTTTGTAAACATTTTGTATTCATAAGTATATATCAAATGATTTGAAATGTTTAATTAATGATACATTTAAGAGAGATTTGCAAATAATAATAATAATAAATAAATAAATAAAAACTAACAAATCATTACAAAGATAACTTCTTTACCATAAAATTACAATTTTACTAATGTCTTCATTAAAATGGTTTTGTATAAAAATATTTCCTTAAGATGATAAACTTTTTTTACCTTGAATCTGAATTGATTTGATATTAAAATTAAATTTTGTGTAGTTCACTGTTAGTTAAGAAAAAAACACTGTATTAATTTAATTAAGTTAATAAACTGAATGTTTTGAATACAGAATATTGTAAATAGACCTGATTTTAAAAAATCTTAAGAATATTTTTATAAGAGGAGAATTTCAAATATTATTTTCAAACTCTAGAAAATAATTTTTGGCAATTATATTAATTTCGATAGAGAAAAGTCAATTTATTAGTTTTCTGTGGATCTTCAAACATGTATTTTGAGTACATTTGCATTATTTTGGTCAAGACTGAACCTTTTTATTTTGCACAAAATTGATTATTAACTTGTATTGTCTAGAGGAGTAGAGAAACTAAAACATAAAATTTATTGTACTTACTAATTATAATATTAGTTATCAATAATTGCAGTTTCGTTTAAGTTTCCTGTTAATATTTTTTGTTGTTAGTATAGCCTTGAATTGCACTCGTAAAATTTTCACTAGAATGAAATCATCTTAGATAATGCAGTTTGTCATACAATAAATTTTAATCATTAGTATTTTGCATATAAATTTTTACTGCATAATTTATAAATTTTATGCATTAAGTGCATTGATATATTGGTGATATTTTACGTTAGCTATTTTTTTTTTTTTTTTCAAATTATACAAATGATTAAGGCTATTTTAGCTTTAATGGTAATGTAAGTATGCATGTACACACACACATTCTTACTGTTTTTAGTCTTTTGTTCATTAATGTCTTTATATATTAAACTATAAGTAACTATAATTATATTAAATTATATTTATAATTTATATTAAATATTTACAGTACTGTACTTAATGTAATGAGATCAAATAATTACATTGATTATTTTGACATATGAAATTATGATTTTATTTTTTAATGTACAATATAATTTACATTTTGGAATTAATCAGTTGTACTGCATTTATATAATGTTAAGGAAAAATAAACATAATTTTCCAGGAAAGTCTTAAATGGCAAATTGCCAACAGTATTCATTTTATTTTAGTTTTCTTTTGATAAAATAAATTGGTGTGCCCGTGTGCTTGGATGTTTGCAGAAGTATGTTAAAGTTAAGATTTCATCCTCTCAGATAAAGAATTGAATTTGATTTTTTCCAGTTTTAAAAGAATAATCATAATACCATCTATGTATATTTTATTTATTTTATATACAGGCATACCTCGACTTACATCGTTTCGAGTTACGTCGTTCCCGATTATACGTCGTTTGTTAAAAAAGTATATGGAAAAATTAAAATCAAGTTTAAGTCATTTTATTCGACTTTACGTCTGTCCTCCACAAATATTGAAGTCGTGATATCACTAGAAAAATGTTTAAAGCACATAAAATCATATTAAAATATATACAAGTATAAACTGTATTTACAGTACATCCATTCGTAAATTTAGATTACTTTTTCTGTACTATATTAAAAAACTAAAATTTATTTGTTTGTAAGCTTAAAATAGATTTTTATTAACCATATATTATTAAAAATGCATTAATAAATAAAATACAGAACCGGGAATGGTAATTTACGGTTTAGCCTAGTGATAAGTAGATTCGGAGACAAGTAAATTCGACTTACGTCGTTTTTTGACTTACGTCGTTCTCCTGGAACCAATTACCGACGTAAGGCGAGGTATACCTGTATTAAGAAAACTATTGTAACAATGACTACATGATTGTCTGACACTTCAGTTGTCCATGCCTGAAGATGATGATGATCCATTAACCAGGTCAAAAACTTTGCTGTTTTAAAAATTCCACTGTTTAGTGAAGTATTTAGTTCACTAAACTAATGTAAATTAAAAGAAATACAAAATTTAATATACTTTTTTAACAATTGCAAGAAAGTGTGTATAAAATTAAAAGAGGAATAGTTTTAATTTTATACACACCTCCTGAAAATTTTATACATTTTCCTTTACAGGAAAATGTATAAAATTTTACATTTTCCTATAATTGCTATTGACTAATATTAAATCAGCAATTTTAGAAATCATTAAATCAGCCATTTGAAAGTTTATACAGTCAAACTTCCAAATAATAGCACTAATAGGAAAATAAAAAATTGTTGCTATTTAGAGGAGCCATTATTAGTATATAAGATTTTTTGGATTATATTTCTCTTTTTAACATAATGAATATATAAAAGGGGGTTTTTTTTAAAAAAATAGTTTTAACAAGTAGAATAAATTTTTATTGATCAATACAACAATTTAATTTTGTTTTAAAAATAATAATGTCATTTATATTCAAAAATACTTGAATGTTGCAAAAACATTTTATAAATTTTTAATTATTTACTAATACCATTAACAAATTAATTTCTTTTCAGATATATTGATGTTATTTATTATGGTTTAAAAAGTAATAATAAAGCTAAAAGTAAAAGAAATAGGGAAACTTATGCTTGGCAAATGATATATGAAGATACGGATGCCGCTTTATTAAGGTTGTTTGAATCTTTTATGGAAGCCGGTCCACAACTTATTCTTCAGTTATATATATTAGCAAAAAATACTACTACAGATGATTATGAAATGAAAACAGGTAAAATTTTTAAAGTATTTTTCAGGAAAATGAAAACTTTGATTTGATTTTTGAGTTTTTCCATTAATTATAAAATATAGTTATACATTTATTTACTAGTAATGTCAATTCTCAATATCTAGAATAATATAATAATGAATTTTCAATGATACTGGATCTTTATTCATTATCAATAATTAAGTAGTGAGAAATAAAAGTAAAATAAAAGTACTATTTTAACAATGCAAGAATGGCAATTTACTGACACAAATTTATAAAATTTTTTAAAAATTAGTATTACTATTCATTCATTGTTTAAACAATGTTTACTCAAAGTATAATTTAAAGGCTACAATAATTTTGGTTAAATTTAAAAAATGGACTTTTGTGATCGATTAAAAATATATACAGTAACAAAAAAAGAACTTTATATTAACATAATGCATTTCTTTTTAAAAATCAATTTTTCAAAAAAATATTTCCTCAAAAAATTGATGAAAACTTCATGGATATCTAATCATTAAACTACTATATTAATCTGTCACAAAATGATTAAAACCATTGTGTATCATGATACTAAATAAACAAATAAAACTTGCTTGACATGTGAAATTTTAACATTTCTATTGCTTCGAAAAAAATTGAAATAGGACAGAATGCTCTACAGAAAGACTTCACAAATGTAGTCGTATGTACTCACATGTTGAATGATTTGGAATCATAACATAAGTTATGATTTTTTAAAACAGTTTTAATTTGACCTCATTGTTCAATTTTGGCCTGATACTCTTTACTCTGTTAAGGTCCTTAAACTAGAATCTCCAACTAATTGATCTTTACTAGATTTTAAAGTATTAGAATTAGTTGTATCACTTATCTGCAAAAGTTGATAAGCAATCATTTCTGAATAAAAATAAAATAGATCGGGAACAACAAATAGATAATAATTTTAAACTGGTCTATAATTGTATCGTATTTCCATCCAATTTAATACTTTTGAGCAGTCTATGATGCACCTGTTTCAAAATTATAAATGATGAGACACCTTGATCAAAATTAGTTATTCAAAATAATCATATTTTTCAAATATAAGTATGTACCATGAATTTTGTTCATCTTGTTTCTGCTAAATAACTAGGGAAAACCGTTGGAAAAGAATTGAAAAGCAGAATAAAATATCTTTAAGTTAAAGTAATAAATTAAGAATATCTAAAGTGAACTTAGTGACTAAATAAGACTTTCATTATGTAATTGATTCTTGATAGGAATAAATGCATAAAATTCTTAATTATCATCTATAGTGAGTTTTCGTACAGGTGGTGGATGATACATTATATTGCAAGATTCTGATCTCTATTTTTGTAGTCTTTTCATTTTGTGTACTTTTTTGATGATTATGTGAATTGTAGTCATATTTATATAATTACCAAATTTCAAACTAAGATACAAAATATATAAACAGTTACAGATATTCATATATAATTTCTGTCTATTATATAAACTTTTTCTATTTTTTTTTCTATTAGTAAAAATAAAATGCTAGCATAAATATTCAAGATAATGTGTGTTCTTCCTGTCATTTTAATTAAAATATTTAGTTTATTATACATGTAAGCATATAGAAAATATCTTCTGTTCTGATGTAGCATTCAAAAATTTTAATTGTGAAGACTAATTCATGATTGATAGCACTTCCATCATTAAAAACTAATTTTTTATATTTTTTTAGTAAGAATTAGTGTAATTTGTATTTTTAAAATTTTTATTCATTGCTTTTCAGAAATTAGTTTTACAAAAGAATGAAAATTTTAATAATAAAAATTGCAAAACCAATTTGAAAAAGTTTTTAAATTTTTTTTATATTAAAAACTCTATTCCACCATAAAACTAAATTAAATAATTTCAATTTTTAAATCTCCAATAATCTTAGTTTATTTTCAATTTGAAATTTCATTAGTACATTTTTTTTCTCCCTACATGTAAGGTATTTATTGTAGTTTTAATTTTGTTGTAAATTAAATTATAAATTATGATAAATTAGTAAAAATAATTTTAAATTTTGTTACAAATTTAATTTGTTAACAGAATTAAAAGACATGTTTTGAAAATTTAAGATTTCAATACTAAATATTCATAACATACAGTAGATATAAAATACGGTTTATCTTGAAAAGCTAACTTTGGGAATCTTTTGGGAATCACTTTGCATCTGACAGTAATACAGGTATACCTCGTCTTACGTCAGTAATTGGTTCCAGGAAAACGACTTAAGCCGAAAAACGACGCAAGTCGAATTTACTTGTCTCCAAATCTACTTGTCACTAGGCTAAACCGTAAATTACCATTCCCGGTTCTGTATTTTATCTATTAATGCATTTTTAATAATATATGGTTAATAAAAATCTATTTTAAGCTAACAAACAAATAAATTTTAGTTTTTTAATATAGTACAGAAAAAAAGTAATCTGAATTCACGAATGCATGTACTGTAAATACAGTACATACTTGTAAATGTATATATTTTAATATGATTTTATGTGCTTTAAACGCTTTTCTAGTGATATTACGACTTCAATATTTGTGGCGGACAGACGTAAAGTCGAATAAAATGACTTAAACTTGCTTTTTATTTTTCCATATACTTTTTTGACAAACGACATATAATCGGGAACGACGTAACTCGAAACGACGTAAGTCGAGGTATACCTGTATAATTTTTAGGAAAATTGGTGAAATAAAAAAATTCAGTGACTTTTGCAACTTTGGATAGCACAGTGCTTTTTGTATAAGTACCTGCAATGAAGTTTGTAAGAAAAGTGATTACGACCTTGCTGCAGCAATTGTGTTTGTGTATTAGTAAATAAATATGTTCGTTGTCTTTATTTTCTTTGTATTCAGTATACTGGTTTGAACAAAATGGTTATGCGGCCCATGCTTGTCATTCTCTCAGTTATGTGGCCACTGTAAAAATAAGTTTGATGACCACTGTTCTATATGATTAGAACAGTGTTTTTGCTATCTCGAAGACTTCCTCTTCTGTAACATCGAGCACTCTTCTAGGTTGCTATTGCAAATCTTGGAATTAGCATGTCTGGCCACATATTCTTCTTTCTTTGTATTTGATGGTGCCACCTACATCCAGACTAGAGGTATCTCTAAGGGCAACCCCCTTTCTAGGATCCTGTGTGAACTGGTCTTAAGTAAAATTGATGGTTTTAAAGATCTTAAATGTATAACATTCATTTATATGCTAGATATATCAATGATGATTTGATGTTTTGGAGAAGATGCCCTGATATTTGAGAATTTATCTGCAACATAAACATCAACCTGTACAGCCTCACCTTAAACCTGGAACAATTGTTTAAGGCATACTTCCTAGATGTTTTCTTCTCTTTTGAAAGAGATGCAGTTAAAACCAATATTTTTAGAAAACCCAGCTGCAATCTGCTCTTTTCCTGGGCCTCCCACAATCCTTTCCACTATAAATTGTCAGTGTTTAGGGCTCTGATTAGAAGGCCCTACATCATTATGAAGATGTCTGCAATAGGATGCAAGAATTTAAGTACATCAGAAAACATGCTGAATATTTTGGCTTTAAATCTAGCATCATCCAGACTGTTATAAGTTCCACTTGAAACCAAAAGTCGACATAAACCACTCTTCAAGGACTGATTTATACTCTAATGAGTATGCTAGGCCCCTCCACAATGTCTACAGTGAGACCAGTAATGCCAGTGGCAGAAGGATCTTATACAAAAGGAATCCTATTTATAAGCCACTACTAAGTGATAAAGACCTCCCAACCCGTCAACATTCTGGGAGTACAGTGGGTGATCAGTTAACGAACAATTCACACTGTGAATAAATCAGACAATGAACACTTTCACAATATACTTTTATGTTCGGACAAGCAATGCTGCATTTAAGATTTGTAAAACTATTTTAATGTCATCTATACATGGTTTATAAAACAGGACTTTCACAGTTGTATACGTAACCTTTTGCAATAGTTAATTTCTGTTCTCTGAATTTTTGTAAGTGCTTTTCTGAACTTTTTATTTAAAAAAAATGATATTATTATGGGGTCTGAAAAGAGTAGTGTGTCAAGAACTGTGTTCACTATAGAAACTAAGGAAGAGATAATAGCTAAGGTAGAGAGTGGGTATATGATGTCTGATATTGTAGGCAGATGATTTCAACAGGTCTACAGTGGATAAATTTTAGCTAAGAAAGATATAATCAAAAAGACTTGAGCTGATAAAGGAGTAATGAAAACCGCATCTGAGAAACAAAGATGCGCCATCCATGAAAAAAAATGGAGAGATTGCTTTTAGTTTGTTATTACGTGTAAATAAAGTATAGTAATAAAATAAAGTATGTAAGAAAGTATATAACTTTTTTTTTTTTTTTTTTTGAGTCTCCAGAACAAAATCAAATTCCCACAAAAATCTATGGTAAATCGATAATTGGTTAATGAACAATTTTGATAGCAAACATAGCCTTGTTACAGATTATGTTCGTTAACTGATCACCCATTGTATATGCTATTCCTCTCAAAGATGAGAGGGTTGCAAATGATCTTCATTATATTGGGCCACTTTAAGATCTTTGGATGCTAGACTGAAGGAGCATAAGTACTGGTATAACATATGAAAGTCTGAACCAGTCACAGCTCTTGCTGCCTATGCTCATTTGTACTCTAGCATGTTGCCAGCAAATATCAACAAAATTATCAGAAGCATTAGAAATAGACATGGCCTATGTTACTCGGATGCTCTATACATTTACAAATGTGTGACAGGGTTGGGGCATTTCATCAGTTATAATGATATTAAGGTCATCTCTTGCATAGAGAACCTGCTTTGAGTTCTCTATTCTAGTTATGCCATATGTCTCCATGTATCTTCAGGATGCTTGCCATATATATTTACTTATTTTTGTATATATTTGTTTTATTATTTATGGCATATATTGTATTTTTATTTGTTTTTTTATTTTTCATTTATCCACACATTTAATTTAAGTAGATAATTTTTTATTTATATTATTTATGTTTTGAAGATTATCCATTATATTCTATTTATGTTGAATTTAATTTTATGTTCTACCTGAAGAAGGTCTTTAAAAGTGACAAATTTTTTTTAACAAACTAATAATTGTTTACCATTTTGTAATGCTACAATCCCCTGGTAAGTATTACCGTGTTTCCCCGAAAATAAGACATCCACAGAAAATAAGACCTAGCACAGATTTTGCTGAATTGCGAAATATAAGACCTCCCCCTGAAAGTAAGACCTAGCAAAGTCTTTTTTTAGTCGTAATGGTCATCGACAGATGGTTGAAAGTGGCCGTTGGGTTTTTGAAAGTACAGCCACTGATTGGTCAGCAGACAATTACGCCACACGGCATGATTTGCATAAGACTATGGCTTGGGAATCACAGATTTGCATAACATTACGGCTGGTGATGGCTAATTGGTCGGCCGGGAACACGCCACATGACGTTTGCATAGTGCTACGGTTCAATAAGCACTAATTGGTCATCGAGTCCGATTTTGATGCTATAAAAAGGCGACAGTTTGACACACCGGATATACGTCACTCTCGTCTAAGTTCGACTTGGGAATTTTTTTGTTCAATAATAAATGTGAATTCTTCTTCCTGGAAAAAAAAAGACATTCCCTGAAAATAAGACCTAGTGCATTTTTCAGAGCAAAAATTAATATAAGACACTGTCTTATTTTCGGGGAAACGCGGTATATTCTGTTTTCATATTTGTACTAAACTTTTTAAATTTATAATAAATTCTTTTGTGACTAATTCTAATAATACTTTTATCTTGAAGTTAGCATAGTTTCTTTCACTATAAGAATCTATTGTCCATTTTAAATTTTTAAATCTTGTATGTTTATGCATGACTATTCATGCAGATGCATTACGATGCACTGATGCAAATGAGCTTGGACCATAGCTTTTTATTTTAACTCAAGGATTTCATAATCTATTGTTAGATTAATCAAGTTGATGAGTAAGGGTTGCTTTACTTTTCATAATTACAGTCAATGGCTCAGTCTTACATTACAAAATTCTCAATTTAAACATTGATGAATATGGCCGTAAGCATAACACTGAGGTTATGTGTGAAAAACATAATGTAAAATTGGTGTTCAACCTGGCTACCATGTTGTAAACAATATTTTATTCTGTTGGATCTTGAATGTAAAATTATATATTTTTTTTCCACACAAAACAATTAGGTGAATGTTTATTAGAAAGGAGGAAAAAATAATTAATTTTGACAATTATTAATGTTATTAAAGTTAATTTTTTTAATATATGAAATTTAAATATATAATATTTTTTTAGTATGTAATATTTTAATCTGTTATTGAATGTACTTCCAAACATTTTTTTAAATCTTGATAGAAATTATTTTAAATTTATTAAGTGTTATAGATATATTAATAAGTAAATTATATCTAAAATTTTATAAATTTTTACAGTTGTAGTTCAAATTCTTTCGATATTTGCATCGCTGACATCTGTTTCGTGGGCTCTTGCCGTATATCAAAGAGCTTTGCGGATGTCTCTTCCAGATAAGTTCAATATGAGTTGGAAAGGAACCACCATTCATATGTTTTGGCATTATTTCATCATTGCTTCTCGGGTCCTTACCCTTGCATTGTTTGCTTCGTATTCTCCACTTATCATGTCAATTGTTTGTGCAACTCATTGGTGTATTATGACTGCTTGGATTATAACTATGAAAACAAATTTTTGTGATACCAGGTAAACTATTTTATATTATATTAATCATAATTAAATACATAAATATTTGAACAATAACAAATAATTGTGTAGTTCTGTTTGAGCTGTTTATATAGTTTGTACACAAACATTTAAATATAATAAAGTGAATTACACTTCATGCCTACATTTAACTATGTAAAATAAATAATCTTAAGTTACTGTTTGCAACTATTTAGAGCATAAAAAGTGCTTGCTAGTACTTTCAGTAGCACAAAGCTACCATCTTCAGGCAAATATCGAATACAAATATTTTTCAAACTATTAGCTTTTGAACAAACTTATGAAAATAAGTGGTGCACGTGGATGGAATACAGAAATTGAATTTAAAATAAAAGATGTTCTAAAGTGTGAAAAGCATTGTGGATGTTATTATATCCCCAAATATATTAAATAAGCAATTGAGTGAACAGTATGAACATGCAATAAAAGAGAAATTTGAATTATAAATTAAATTGCTTGAATAAAGTTATCCACAATTGTGGAATTTCAAGGGTTGGTATGTTGCACGGTGTTATGGTGGCAATGTATAGGTTCTCCCATATGAGCAATTCTTTACAATTGTTGCACCATTTCAGTAATTTGGTTTGGTCCAGAGAAGAAAATAATCTTGGTCAAGTACCTTTTTAGCTAATTCAGTTGATTGTCTATTGTTTCTAATGTCCTCCCGATGTTCTAGGATGCAAGAGCTTAGCCCAATGTTCTAGGATGCGAGAGCTTAGCATTCCAGCTGTAGCCCCTATGTAGCTTGTTTCCTCTCCTGAGAGTGCATGTTTTAATGGATTTGATACATACCAGATTTTCATTCAATTTAAGAATATCTCTGTTGTTGCACAATAGTCTTCTTAGTGTTGGTTGTGGGGTTACAGGTAATATAAAACCATTCTTTCTAAGCAGATGTGCTATTTTTAGTGAGATTGGGCCTAAATACGGTATTGGAGGATGTGTTATTTTTAGTTTCTCTTTGTTACTAAGAAAGGACTGTGGAAACAAGTTTTCTTTGACACGATTTTGGAGAAAGTGAAACTTAGAGAATAACCTGCATTTTGCATTGCTTTGTGATAAGTTGCAATTCCTTATTGACCAGTGCTTGGATGGAAGGGAGTAGGCAGCTCTCCGAATGAGAGATGATATAGCAGAATTCACAAAGTATGAAGGTTGGAAGGCTGCAGTGGGAGTAATATGCAGTGCTTTGTTGTTTCTATGATGTAAGATCAGTGATCTGTTATCTGTAGATCCAAGAAGGAGATACTGGTGTTTTGTTCTCTTATGTAGTGAAATTGATCGCAGGATAAACAGAAGCTAACATTTGAATAAATTGATCTAATTCAGATGTTGAGCCATTCCATGCAAGCAGTATGTCATCAACATAGTGTAAATATACAATAGGAAAACGGATGGCCAAAAGGACATTGAAAATACGATGTTCTATGTTCCTCATGATGAGTTCTGCCAAGATTGGCGATAGTGGGTAACCCATAGGTACTCCCTGGGTTTGTATATTTTGCCATTTTGATAAGAAAGAGAGCCTTGTGCAAGTGTATAACATATGATGTTGTGGAACCAGAATTAAGCAGCAGAGTATTTGCAAGCATGACGGCTTCGAAATGAGGCACTGATGGATACAAAGAAATTACATCAACTTTGTACAATCGGTATGAGTTAGTGGGGAGGTTTTTTAATTTTGCTAAAATACTTAATTTAGCATATATTGAGGATGTAGTAACAAAGTCTGAATGTGGAACCAAAGCTGTAATTTGTTTAACTTGTGCAGTTTCTAAATAATATGTAGGGTGGGAGCACTTGTTGACTAAAGGTCTTAAAGGCCAATTGGGTTTATTCATCTTTGCCTCAAAGAATAATCTGGGGTGTGAAACGTTGGTTGGTGTATTGAGAGGACCTGTTAAGGAGGTTACAATCCCTGGAAGTGTTATAACTTTGTGTCTTTCTTAATACTGTTGTGGTTGGATCCTGTTTTAGTGTGATTGATTTAGATTGATCAAGGAAATTGTTGGTTCTTGTTAGGAAATCTTTTTTTTTCATAATACAAATCTTTTGTCTTTATCTGCTACTAGTAGATTTAACTGATTGGATCCAAGAAATGTCTTTACTGTCCGAGCAATCTTCATATTCAATTTCTTGGTTATTGTAGACAACTCTAAATAGGGTTGTAACTCTGGACAGCAGCTGTTCTTTATGGCCGCCATGGTGGGAGGAATGAGTTGTGAGTAATTAAGCCTAGGAATGGGTATGTGTTTTGGCCTCTGTGTTAATGTTTGATGAATATTTTCTGGTACCTTTATACTTGTGACGTTGTAGTACAGAACTCCATAGTTCTGGTGTTTTCGGCAAGATGTTTTTCGTAACCAATTGAATTTTTTTGTTCAGTTTCTTCCTGATTTCACGTGCCTTTTTGTTTGCTGTGTTTCTTATTTTATTCAGTTGTTGGTATAGCATTGTTGCTTCACATTATTTATCAAAGACAAGATGGACCAGATACAACTTTTTTCTTCTGCTATGGCTTTGCATTTGCTTTTAATTAATTTTGCTAAAAGCTTTCCAATCAAGGCAACAGGGTTTACACTTCTGTAAGAAATGAGTTGTACTTAAGAGTGATGGTGTGGTGAGTGTATGCCTGTCTGGTTAGGGCATGGAAGACGGGCATACACTCATCACACCAATAGGTATGATGCTATACTTGAGCTACAACGTTGGTAGAACATGGCTACAGAAGAGACCTGGTATGTGGTTTATCCCATGCCTATGCCAACCAATTTGCTGCACACAACAGTCCCAACACCTAGTCTGCTTCTAACAGAAATGAACAACACACCACAGGCTCCAGGCACACTGCAGTACTGTTCACTCAACATTTGAAGTCCTTATACAAATAGATTGCAGGCCATAGTGGTACAGAAATCACATACAGGAGATCTGGTACAATATACAAGTTGCTACACAATGCAAAAGATAAAATGGATCAAACCAGAGCCCCAGGAACGTACTCTGTATCTCTAAGAGATGATAGATTCTGAAGGGACTTAGTCTATGTTGGCTCAACCATACAATCAATACATAAAAGGGTAGTGAACATCAATACGACCTTGCGAACAACAGGCATACCACCGCCTTGTTCATGCCACCCATTCGGAAGTACGTGTGGACCTCCAGAACACCAAGTTAATCAGGCACGTCTTTCAAACAGATCATATTCATAGCCTGATTTCACGTGCCTTTTTGTTTGCTGTGTTTCTTATTTTATTCAGTTGTTGGTATAGCATTGTTGCTTCACATTATTTATCAAAGACAAGATGGACCAGATACAACTTTTTTCTTCTGCTATGGCTTTGCATTTGCTTTTAATTAATTTTGCTAAAAGCTTTCCAATCAAGGCAACAGGGTTTACACTTCTGTAAGAAATGAGTTGTACTTAAGAGTGATGGTGTGGTGAGTGTATGCCTGTCTGGTTAGGGCATGGAAGACGGGCATACACTCATCACACCAAGGCATTGGAAATATATAAAGCCAGCCTAACTGGCAATTGTATTAACTTTAAGGACTGCAATACGGTGGTGCATATGCATGGAAGTACTGTACATGTATAAAGAGTTGAGCAAAGTTAACCCATTATAATTTCATCTTATAACAATATATACGGCTTAAATTGGTATGGATCACATGATCAATTTTTATGGTTTTAGTCAAACAACCATATAAATTTGCCTTGTGTGATGAGATACAGTCGACCCCCCCATAACACTGTTTATTATTCCGTTTTATATGAATTACATGTTGTACGAGTCATTTAGATTTTACAAATACGTGAGCTGTTCACAGCCCTGCACATGTATTTGTAAAATCTAAGTGACTCGTACAACATAGAATTCATATAAAACGGAATAATCAACAGTGTTTATAGGGGGTTGACTGTATTCGAAATTTTATAAAAGTGATTTTCAAACATCATCGTTCTGACGTTCGACATTGGAAATTCGGTTTTGTTAAAAATCCTGAGGTAGGCCTTGGTGAAGGCCATAAATGTTCGAGTTTTCGTTGAAGTGCTGTTACTGGATAAAAGGTTTCGTTTGTATTTAATAAATTACCCCAGTAATTTGTGAAGAATATAGTTACAAAAGTTAGTCTTACAGAAAAAAATGCTGTTGTAACCATCATTCAATGAATATAGAATGCCTTTTCTTATATTTTGTGGCATCATAATGTGTTCATAAGACTTTTGCAAACAATTTTGTTGGTCCAGTATTGATTTTAATGTGCATCTGAAAAGTGAAGATTGTCAAAAGCTTATTTACATATTTTGAATTTCACTTTATTTACTAAATGTAGACATAAAATTAAACTTTAAAACAGTTTTTAAAAAAATTTGAAACAAGTTTAAATTTAGAATGAAATTTTTGAGTGAATTCAATTTTTAGTTGCAATATAATAGATTTTTAAAAGAATTCTCTCTCAAGATTATTCATTAATTGAAATTAAGTATACATTTAAGCTTAGACTTTTATTCAAAATGAAAAATAGGTTTAATAATAATTTAATATTTGTTGTACTTTACCTATTAAAAAAATATATATATATATTGTTTTGTAGATGTGAGGAATTAGCATATAATGCTGTTTTGGGAGTGCTGTTCATCTTTTGTTACTTCAATCCTAAAGATTCACCAACTCGACACAGATATCTATTTTATTACGTGTTTATCTTTGCAGAAAATACTATATTAATGACAATTTGGTTTAATTACACACAGAAGACTTGGTTTCACTTTCCTGCCATGATTATTCAGTTTTTAAGTTTTGTAATTGGAATAATTTTTATGGTAAGTACTTTTTTCAGAGTAAACTTTTTAAATAATTTGTAATATATATTTTTTTCATAATTTAAAAATGACACCTGATTATCATATTTTTCAGTATGAATATGAAAGAATGCATTACTTTATGCTAATCTCATGATATTTTTGTACAGTGGAATATGAATTTGTTAGAAGTACTGTGATTTTATAAACTTTCATTCTAGTATATTTTCCTTCTAAACATAAATTCTAGAATGATTCAAATTATATTCAATAAATCATGTATATTTAAAATTATACTCTGTACACATTAAACTCTGAAACTGTTAATAGTATCAGTTTGCTATGATTTTTGATGATCTTGATTGTGCTTGGAATATTGTTTTTATTTTTTTTTTAAAGACAACTTTGGAAAAAACTTAATTATTTCCAATGTTTAAAAAAAATCATTAATTAAGAACATGAATGTAGACTATTCAAATGGCATTTTCACATGTCCTTTTTCATATCCAGAAGTCATTTACAATATTGAAGACTGAATGGAAAAAATGAAAATTTTAATGTCTTATGAAATGTCATTTGCAAATTACTGGAACACAGTTGCTAACATTTATGCAAATTTTTAAATAATTCCCATAAGTGAACCAAGAATGCATCTAAGAGATCTAACCTTTTATTTGACGTACCATCTCAGTATATTATGTAAAAGACTAAACATGTCTACTGGTGATTGTATAATAATGTAAAAATAAATATATATTATATATTTTGGCGGCCAGTAGCCAAAAAGAAAAGGTCAGTTGCCAAAAGTGTAATGTCTGGAACACAAAGTTAATAAATGGTGGTTCCTATTTTTTTGGAAAGGACTTCGTATTCAAAAGAATTAAAAATATATTTCATTTTAAAATCCAGGACCAAATCTAGTATAATAATTAGGGGAGACTATCAGCTGTTTGACGTGATGATTAACTTTTTTTTTTTGTCTTATAGGGGGTATAGTTAATTTCTTAATATAATTTGTTTTTTTTATTGTTTGGATAGTTTTCCCCACAATGTGTGTTGATATTTTGTTTAAAATATTATTTCTTAGTATTGGTTTTGTATAATTTGTATTTTATTTATGTATATTCTGCTTTTTTGTTCTTGGTATTAATTCATGAATTGTAATATTACTGTAGTTTGTGTTGTATATCTAATGATTATGTTGTATGTATTCCCCACATCATGGGTTTTCCCAGTATGTCTAAATAAATAAAAATAAAATAGTATAATAATTTTTACAAAATTAACTGATCATCAGTGGACACTTCAGTCTCTTACATAATTTACTAAGGTCATAACCTCAAATAAAATGTTAGATTGTCTTTTTTAGATTTTCTGGTATGAAAAAACAAGTGACGATACCATTGGATAGTCTAAGCTCATGTTTTTAATGAAGTTAATTATTTCTTCTTCCCTCTTGTCAATTCCTATTTTCATTTACAATGTACTGTTAAATACTTTGAATTTATCAAAAAATACAAAGGGAAATATAGTCTTTAAAAAAACTAACTTAGATTTAAGAACTCAATACTTCGGTTATCATAGATAATAAATACCAGCAATTTATTAATTACTGTATTTTGTAAATATAAATGACTAAAAGTAGGTGGTTAACAAACCCATAACCTTTTTTGTTTACTATGCAGTTACATTGCCAGTTATGCTTTCTATATCTTCATCTGATATTTGTCTCCAGACTATTAATTTATTTAAAAGATATGACCCTGTACAGTCATATCTTTTTAATTTTATGGTCATATTAATTATAATAAATAATTGGAAATAGGTGATTGTCTGTGTATATAGAATAATCTATTTTTAATTATTAAATGTAATTAATATATTATTAAATTTAATACAAGATGCAGCTTAATTGCCTACCTTTAGTCAAAATTACATATCTTTGAATTAATTAGCTATATTATAGCTTGAATAAAAATCTGGTAGTATCATATGATTACCTATAAAGCTAAACCAAATATATAATAGTAATGATTTTTAAATGTAAATGCTATGTTATAATAGAATTAGAAATATTAGTGTTATAATCTTATACATTAATTTTGAGAGAGCGTTTTATTAAATTTAACAAAAATTGAATAACACATTCTTTATATTACAATAAATTACGATGATGTTTTATTCAATTTTTACATTAAAAAAATGTGGAGGTTTAAAAATTGAAAAAAGTTGAATACGAGAAAAATATTTTTAGTTTGTACAATGTGATTGTAAAATTCCTCTGAGGTGGGCAAGGAAATGAGAGGAACTTCTAGGAATGAAGTAAATCACTGGCAGACCATGCATCAAAAGAATTAAAGTAGATTATGACATCACTACTCTATCATGCCACTTGGGCATGGAGGGACGTATGATTGCACTGTGTAACATTAAATCCATTTTTAATTTTAAATGTTATTGCATTTTGTGTAGTAACAGATTACTTTTTTAGTTATTAGAACTTTTGGTAAAAATGTTTAAAATATTTTTATAAAAGTATTGATGATTTTTCAAAAATTATCAATAATTGTATGCATTTTTAATTGAGTGTTATTTATGGAGATAATTTCTTGCTTATCAGGACATTACTATTTTAAATTTTTATAATAGCTTTTACATTAATTCAAACTATTATAAATAATATCAATAATGTAATAATTGTTTCTAAAATTTGAAGTAAAAAATTTAACTAATTATAACAGTGAAATAATGGTTGAATTTTTCTTCAAAAATATCCTTATTACAAAGTCTTCAGTTTTATTTATTGATAAAAGGTGGGTCAAACTCCAGGCGGGCTTTTGAAATCTTTTATTGATCACTTTTTACTATAATTGGAGCATGAAGACTATTGTTGAAAGCTTCAAACATTCTGATGACAAATCCTAATGCTTATTTTGAGAACATTTTAAATTCTAGTTTTCTTTGAAACATCATTGAATCCAAAAAGCATTGTGCTTCACATATCTATTTTAGCAGATCATACTTAAAAATGTAGATCTGCATTAACAGATTAAAAATAAATATTTTATAAATTTTTTTTATATTTTAAGGATTGAGTTTAAAATATTTCAAGAGAACAAATATTTAGTCCTGCTTTAAATTAAAATTAATATCTTACTTGTTACTCAATATGTATTTATATAATTATTTTCATTACAGATTGTTTATTATCTTCTTTTTCATCCTACGGGAAACATTCATTGGTATGGAACCTGGTTCATATTTAGTTATTATCCAAAGAACTCTCAAGAAAATCAAGTCAATAATACATTATCGATACAATTCATTCCAAAAGAGGATGCTACGAATGAGAGAAAAGACGAAGCGATGAAGATAGATTCGTTGAAATTGTAACTTTTTAATATGTAATATGGGTTGTAGTCTAGTCATTTTCTAAAATTGATTGTATAAATTTCTTAAAAGATATTTTAATACATCCTTGAATGGAAAAATGTTGAATTTTTTATATATATATATAGAATTTAGATTATATTTATTAAATGGATATATATTACTCAGTTATATAAATCAGATATTAAAAAATATAATTTAAAATCATATTTTATTATCTTTTAGATGCATTGCCTAGTGAAGTGGCTTTAATATGGCTGGATTAGCAAGTCAATGACTGCTCGTTTCGTTCAAAGCGGGCTAAGTCATTGGCTTGCTGGTCTGGCCATATCAAAGCCACTTCACCAGGCAACGCATCATCCTTCATTAGTATAATTCTGCTAAATTTTATCTTGTTAGTTTATTTATATATATAATTTTATTGTAGAATTAATTCAAGTTTTATTCTTAAGATATTTTTGGTTCATATTTCGAAACCGTGTTGTATCTTTATATTAGTTTTTCAAAACCACAATGCCAAGTGTTGATTATTACGCTGCATTGTGGTTTTGGAAAACTAATATTTTTGGTTCGTTTACATTAAGAATCCATCTGCTAATCCATTTAAAAGTCAAACTTTAAAAACATATTAGATTTAAATGGTGCAGACTGTTTTAAAGGAATCAATACAAAACTGTGTTTTTCAGAATTATTTTAGCATCTTGATAGTCATTAACAACATTACATACTAGTGATTTGAGAAATTTATACACGAACATTGTTGAAGTTCATTTTTAAAATGGTAAGTTTTATGTGAAATGCACTAAACAGTTCACAAAGCTAATTTTACATCGTAATTAATTGAAACGACTTGTTAAATGTGTGGATGATGATAAGAATTTGAACTTGTTTTTATTTATAAATTGGATAAATAGTGCATGCTTTTTCTATTATCGGGTAAAAATTTTGATATTGTAATGATAAAGAAGCAAAACATTCGGAGCTTGAATTAGAAAATGATCATTAACTTTAAGCTCCAAACATTTGCTGTGTAATAATTAAGTTTGGACTTTAACACTAAAAATAGATTTGTCAGCTCAAATAATTCTTTGATTTTTCAGCCACTAATAAAAACTGTTTTATATTATTTAGAAAGGAAGATTTTTAGAACGATGACTATGTATGATTAAAAGTCTCTTTTAATATCATATGGACCGTTTATTTTGAAAGTGGTGTAAGTCCATTTTTTCTTCTTTCGAGATATTTAAACATTTGCATTTTAGTTGAATCAAAAATATAAATAAAGTGTACTAAGTTTGACAATGTTTCTATGACTTTAGAAATATGTAAGTTGATTGCATAAAGACTTCTATGTGAATTTAACTAAACTAATATATTCTTTCTGGGCCATAAATGGACTTACACCACTTTCATAATTACTGAACTGTAAAATTCATTAAATTTCTATTATGTAAAACTCAATGTCACTTGAAACACATTGCGTTTTATTCTGATTTTGTTCACATATAATAACAAGAAATAAAATAGTATTGTTTATTCTGAACATTAAAAATATTTACTTATTGTTAAACTATTTTATGATAAATTTATCATTATTATGAGCTTACCATTAGACACTGCTTTTCATTTAGATTCATTACATGGATTTTTTTCCATTCCATCAAATTGTACGTTTGTTGGTAATATTTATAGTTTTACTCCTCTGTTGTAAGGGGCTGTCTTTAAATGATGTCCACACTGAAAGGGGGAGGGGGTTAAGACAAGTCGGACAAGGGGGATTGAGTATTAGTGTACATCCATTTATTTCTTTAAATTTATACAATAGGCATTTTATTATATTTATTTCAAAGTTTCTTGTATGTTTCATTTTTACTTATGGTATCATCATTCATAAAGTGATGAAGGTTTTAACAGGGATAGTTATGTTGGACATCCATAGAGGGAAAGAGGTTACAAAAACTTGGACAAACTGGAACAAGAGGGGGAAGTAAAAATTTCGAGAAAAATGCACATGTTATTTAAGGATAGCCCAAGTGCTTAGACTGTAGAAAATGGACTTACACCAATTTCAAAATAAACGGTCCATATGATACAGGATTGTGACCAGGGCCATAACTAGATTAGTTATATTTTATTCTATTTTAAGATTTTCCAGTTATTTCAAAATTAATTTTAAAACTTTGTTCTTTCATTTAGATTATTTTTCTTGAAAATAATAATATTAACTTTATAAATATCTTTTAAAAAAAGTGTTAAGGAAGAACAAGTAGCTAAAATTGGAACTTTTAGTGTAATTTCAATTGATTTCTTTAAAATAGTACTGTTAGATTTTAAATAGCACTGGCTGACTGATAACTTCTGTAAATTAAAAGCATACTTAAATATAACTTTAATTTCTCTAAATGATATTGTATACTGATATACACTATTTGATAAATGTAATTATATATAAATTTTTAATATATTAAAAACCTAGTTTATATTTCTGTCGAAATAACTAGTTGCATTCAGTTTAGAATTGACCAGGAGGGATAGAAGATAGTAATTTTTTAATTACTGGCATTCTCCAATTTGATAAGTTGAGAAAAAGTACATTTTTTTTTCCCTGTTCAAATTAGTTTGTATTTACAGTTTTACAGTGTTTGTTGTTTTAACTTGGTAGTAACAACAAATTTTATCGGAAAAGAAAGTACAAGCCCCACTTCTAAAGTTTAACTTTATAAAGTCCGACTTTACGAACGCGTCCAAAATCAAACGAGTTAAACGAGAATGACGTCATCGTTATTCTTATTTTGTTAGATTTTTCGAATGATTCATTTAGAACTAAATGCCTGTTTCTAAAATCGAAGATACAAATGTTGCTAGTACAGCCTTATCCGAAATATTTTTCTTAGATTGCTTCAGGTGGACAGTTATTTCAATCATTTCATCTTTTAATTCACAATTTAAACACTCGAGTAGATTTAGAAACATTGATATCGTCGGGTGCCATTTTATTAACGAAGTAAACTAACTCTTTCCTTTGTGAACTTCGTTAGAGTTTCGTTTGAAACGTCATCATCGCAGAGCATGCGCACTGAGCGAGACTACTACTATTCGAATGATTCATTACTAATGCGTTTAACTCGTTTGACTTTACAGACGTACCCTTTATTTGTTTACAAAGTTAATTGAAATAACACTTCTGTTTATATTCTCGAGTAATTTCTGATGCCGTGGCATCCATCTCTACTGAGATACTTGTACTAATCTAGCTTAAGTTTGCTGGCCAATTGCCAATGCAACAGTTGTGTAATATTGCCGCGAATAAGAGATACATAACATTTAATTTTCTTGCTGTTTGTTCATTTCCATCAAATATTTCTTCTCAATCTGCAATAGTGAACATATCGATCTAATAATGGTTTGGACAGACTTGCCAGTTAGGTATTAAAACAACCGTATCGGTGATAACATATACTTTCATGAATTTATCTAATGATAAAATCGAATATTTACTCATTATACTCATTTATATGCATATTTGTCTTTATTATTTTACGGCTGTGCATTTACAATTTTAAACAAAACTTTATACAATTATATCTCGGCGAAGACCTTGTATATCCGTACAAATTGTTAACCGGGACGTGCATCGTCAAAGCAATTTTAGAGGGGGTCAATCAATTTATATGTAGAGGTCACCGAAAACACGGAATTAAAATTTAGATGTAGGGGATGTAAAAATACTCTTCTCTGTGTTTTTGAAATTTTTAAGTCCCGATGTTAATTGAAAGTTTATTCTAATAATAGCATTGTTAATAGAGGAAACATAGCATCTACAACTTAAGCCTGTGTTTTTTTCGACCCGTTTTCTAACGGAGCACCCCATTGGTGATTTTTTTCTTGCGGCACCCCTTTGTCGACAAACGTTGCCCTCTTGTACTTAACCTGCCACAGCTGACGTGCGTAAACTACACCCTGGCCCTAGGCCAAGCTTTAGTAAGGCTCCCCGTCCCACCCTAAATTCATATTGCTCTAGAGCCCTAGGCTCTAGCATGCCGGACACAATGGTTAATCGATCACTGCATGCAGGTGTTATTTTGCAGCACCCCAGTCGAAAACCATCTGCTTTAGTGTTTGCGCATCATTACGCAAATCATATCAACAAACGTATTTATGTCTCCAGATATTTGGAATAATAAAATATCAAATAATTATTTTTAAATTAAAACAATTTTTAACTCTATACACTTAAACACTTAACAAAATTTTGTAATTTAATGTGTGATGCAAAGATATATATTATATATAATCGTTTGAAAATGTTATAAAATTTCAAAATGAAAATTATACAAATATATTTTTATAGAAAATTAATTTAGAAATGAACAGCATTTTTGACATAGAAATAGTAATTCAAACCAAAGCAAAATGATTCAGAATTAAAAAAATACATATAAAAATGTATAGAAATATTTTTGTACTAAACAGTATAATCGTTAAGCATTTTATACATTGCGGTAACCATTTATCCGACGAATAAAATATTTTTGTAGCGCTCCGTGCCGGGCGATTATCTGTGACGCCTGTATTTGTAAGCCCAATATTTGATTATGTAATACATTTATTAAGATGATAATAATTAGAAAGAATCCTCTTCCTAAATGTTAATGTTGACAAGTTTCGTGTTAGAAATTCAAAGGTTCAATTTTAACTCGATGCTTGCTTGCGAATAAGTTTGGAAACAAAAATTAGGATTAAAACTTTAATTTCATAAGGTAAAATCCTTAAAGTAAACCGGAATAAACCCTGTTAAAAATAAAAAGTATTTGTAATATTTTTTTATTGTCCAATTTGGTTGCCGTTTCTATCAGATACCGCCATTCGTTTTTCTCAGTCACTATTTGTTGGGCTGCAATTTTGAAATTGCAGACCTTTAAATTTCTATGGTCGTCCTTTGTGTCAAGATCAGATACAGAAAGCTTAGGGGCAGGAGGCTCCGATTAATTGTACGCGAACTTCTGGTCTGGTATTGTACTTATTTTTAAATTTTATTCTTTGTTCTGTTTAACGTTTGTACTCGGTAAATTTGGTGGAAACCTTCCAGCCAGGGACTCGCTCCTCTCTAATTGCTTTTGGTTTGACTGTTGTCTTTGCAATTTAGAAAACTTTTACATCTAAATAGTAAGAGTTTACTTTTTTTTATTTGTTTAATTAATATCCATTTTACACGAACAACTTTATAAATTTTGTAAATACGAATTAATAGTCTGACGAAGAAATCAATAGAAATAATTTGTATTTTTTTACTAGTAAAATGTTACCGGTGATGCTAATAAATTTTGCTGGAGACAAGCATTAAATTTGGCCAATTTACTTAAATTAATTGTAAATCGGTTTTAAGTTTCGTCACGATTAAAACGTGTTTCCAAATGGACAAAAAAGAAAAAGTTAGCCGAGACGGTTTGAAAATAAATTTAAGGTTTATATAGCATTTTATATCGGAATATTTGTATTTTTATATCGATTATGTACATAAGGACCAAGTATTGTTTGCCGTTTTTTTTTTCGCATCTAACAGTCGAGAGCTTTTGTCATTCCATTGTAGTCGTCGAGAATTAGCTTTTACGTATCTGTGATAAAAGTTAAGAATTACTTTTAATGGGTAATAAATTGATGATGATAAAAATCACTTTTTTGTTTTTACAAACCTTAAATATAATAATTTTTTTATTTAAAAAATGTTGTAATAATAGTATACTAGTTTCGTTGACAGCCGTCGACATCAGTTGCGATACTGGACTTATTAAACACGGATTAGGATATCAACATTTATTGATTTATATCAGGGGCCACCAAACTTTTTTGATCGTCGACCCCCTACAACTTTTCGAAACCTCACATCGACCCCCACCAAAAACTTTGTGTTACAAGCAAAAAAAAAAGCTCTATTTTAATATATATCTTTTAATTTTACATTTATTATACATATGTTAATAATAATTTTTGTAACTGACAATCAATGAGACGGATAAGCTTGATAATCCTTAGCAAGATTAGCAATATTCGGTTCAAAATTTGTAAGTTTGTCTTTTCATCGACCCCCCCCCCAATAATGTTATATCAACCCCTGGGGGTTGATATAGACCACTTTGGTGACCCCTGATTTATATTATTTCTCTCCCCGGATAATATAAACTGATAAATGTTTTCTTATTCTGTGTGGAATAAGTCTGGTACCACAGCAGATGTTGTCTGCCATCGACAACCAGAGTTGGAGCAAATACTGTACAAGATAAATAGAATAGTTGAATCTGTTACTT